TGAAGGGAAAAAGATCCTAATGGACACCACAGCTGTCATCCACTAAATAACCAAGGAAAATGCTTATGAAGATTATAATTATCATTTTAAAGTTTGAACAGGAAGCATTTTTGTTCCAAACATGCCTTTAAAAATGAGTATTCAGGCAAGAATCCTCGATGGATGCTAAAACCATGGATGAAACTCTATCGAGGAAGAAGATAGCCACCCAGTCTCAAAATCTCACCCCACAAGGGATAGTTACGAAGGGAAAAAAGGTATCTTTAAAGAGGGACAATTTTGCATATGCTTTCTTAACAAAGTAATTAAACTTAACATCACCAATAATGGGACGGATGGACATAATGAGCCCCTGATGTGATGAACTGAGGACACACCATGTCAAAAATACTGATTTGAATCTGATCAAGAAGGAAAAATTGGACAAAATCCAAATCAAGCGGCATTCTGCAAAAAAATAAAAATTAGCCTAACCTCTTCAAAAATGTCAATGTCATGAAAAATACAAAAGGCTGCAGACTATTTTAAATTGTAGATTACAGAGACCTAACTACTTAATGCAAGATCTCTGATTGGATCCTCAACTGAAGAAAAACAGTCAGCTATAAAAAAACTATTTGGAAATGGGGGACATCTGAACATGGGTCTTGTGTCATATTTATTTGGATTGCTGGGTTTTTAAAGCTTTTTTTTTTTTGCTGGGTATGGAATTTTAGGCTGGTATTTGGCTCTTGGTACTTTCAAGATGCTGCTATCCTGTCCTCTGGTTTGTGCAGTGTCTGGCAGTGTCTGGCGGTGTCCACCTAGTTGTGACCTTGACGGAACAAAGAGTTGCAGTAGCTAAATGGTGGAGAAAGTGGTGCCTTGCAGGAATCCAGCACCAGAGAAACCTCAGGGGCCATGAGAAAAATCATGCTCTTTGGGGACTTGAAGAGCAAGCCACACCAGAAAGGGAAGGAGAGCCCCTTCCTTCTCCAAAGTCTCCGTAGCAGCCTATTGCCAAGGCCCACGCTCTTGCGAGCCGGCAAAGCGGAGAGGCTTTACAAGGAATAGCTCTACCCCCGTAGGGCAGGCCGGAGGGTGAGCACAGCTGAGGCAATAAACCCACCGGTGCAGCGGGACTTCTCGTCTTTTCAGTTTGAGCAGTTCCCCTTGCTGTGTCTTCACAGTCAGCGTATCGTCCACTTCTGTGGTGCCTCAAACCACAGTGTGTGTTTGCACGGTCTTTGTCGCGCTTCTTTAATCTCTAGAAGTTCTGAGATTTAGGTCTTCCTTCTCTCTTCTTAATATGCTCATGCCTCCCTCCACCACCTCAGTATAGGGACGAGAGTTAAAAACTATCCGAATGTCCTTTTTTACTAAGTCTATCATCTGTCATTTCTGGGTCATTTCTTGATTTTTCTCATTACGGTAATTTTTGATTGGATACCAGATACTGGGAATTTTATCTTGTTTGGCTTAGATTATTTTTATATTCCTTGCAATTCTTGAGCTTTATCCTGGGACACATGCCTTAGAAACAGCTGGATCTTTTCAAAGCTTGCTATTTTAAGTTTTGTTAGCCAGGATCAGCCATCCTTATTTGAGGGCTACTGTGGCTCAACTTCTGAGGCAATGTCTCCATATTCTGGGTACTCTACCTGATGCCCAAGTCAACAAACTGTTTTGGGGACAGCAGATACTATAGAAATCTAGGTGTAAAAGATTGTCACATCAACCAAAGCCAGCTTACCCTAAATGGTAGCATCAGGGGGCGCCTGGGTGGCTCAGTCGGTTAAGCGGCTGCCTTCAGCTCAGGTCATGATCTCAGGGTCCTGGGATCGAGCCCCATGTCAGGCTCCCTGCTCAGCTGGGAGTCTGCTTCTCCCTCTGCCCCTCCCCCCGCTTGTGCTCTGTCTCTGTCTCTCTCAAATAAATAAATAAAATCTCCAAAAAAAAAAATGGTAGGGTCAGCCCAGCTGGTTATCTGGTGTGTATGTCTTCAATACACAGTATGGATTTAAACAGAATGACTCCTAATGAAGCCTTTGCTTCATCAATTACACACACACTCTCTCTCTTATAGATTTAAGCCCTCCCCTTCCCCAAGCTCGTTCCCTCCGGCTGAAAACTCATGCTCGTTTTGCTCTCAAAAAACCAAACCAAACCTCCCCCGCCCCTCCACAACGTTCTTCGACCACACGTTCCTCCCCTGGCCGTGCCCTCTTTCCTCTTGTGACCGCCCACCTTTCCGAACACTCGTCAATACTGTGTTCACTTCAAAGTCGAACCGCTCTTCGACCCATCGCTAGCTACGTGACTGCTCCTGGCTAAGGTCACCAGAGATTTCCTAACTGCTGATTCCAGGGGCCTCTCTGACTCGAGCTCATTTACGACAAGGATTTAGCACTTCTTCTTTGGAGATTCTCCCCTGCTCTGGCTTCCCTAACAGAATCTTCCAGTCCTCCCACCTTTTCGTTACCCCTCTTCTTCAACACTCTTTGGAAAATAGAACAGTTTTTCCTAATTATTAAAGTAAAATATAGTCACTTTAGAAAACTTAGAAAATACTTGCCCAGTCTCTTCTTCTGGCTCCTTGTGGCCCTTGCCCCTGAGACACTTCTCAGGGTCTAGGCATTTCTCAGGCTTCCACCCTTGGCTCTCTTCCCATCCCACATGTTCTCCCCTGAGAAATCTCACAAAAAAATGATCCTCAAACCTTGGTCTCCAGTCCTTCCCCTTCCCCTGTCTATAGATTTACCTTTTCAAAAATTCATCAAAACAATATTCATAGTAACACATAGTTTAAAAAGCCAAAAATTACTAGGCTTATAAGGCAAACAGCAGTCTCTGTCTTGCCCCCCTTCCCGAATAACCCTACTCCCCAAACTAAACATCCTACGTGTGCTATTTCTTGTCTTATCATCTTAGAGATGGTCTGGTGACTTCTATATGGGAAAGGGCACTTGGATGTCCATCAGCTTACATCCCCATTTTTTGCTTCTCCGTCCTTCCAACATAGTTATTAGAGTATGATATTCGTTTAAATCATTAGTGTTTATCTTATGACTTGATTAGTATTCATTACTCCTGAGCCATTCTCTCCTATATAATTTATTATTCTTTTTAGAATTAACAGTGCATCATTTAAAAACTTAATTTTCTATGTTACTCTTGCTTAATCCTTTCCAGACTGCCCAACAGAGGTGTCAAGTGAGAACACTGTGTCTCAGACCCACGGGTTCCCCATCAGTGACATGTTTCCCTGAGGAGCGCTCTGTCCTCCCGGCTCCAGGAAGGGCTTCTGCTCTGGCCAGTTTCAGTTCTCTTCCAAGGCTGCCCGGCCCGGTTCCAGCACCTAAGAGTCCCCTGGGCCAATCCAACAGCGGGGATGCTTATGCAGTGTGTTGCTGTCACGAAGGGACTCCGCTTCCTTTCAGATGGGCGACACTGAAAGTATAGTTTAAAATGCTAACGAAAGAGCACTTGCAGGTCTTCTTCCCGTCCCGGCTAAGAGGGAGACAGTTCCTTGGACTCCCCAGTGCAAGTCCTTGGACTCTGTTCTCATGGCTGCACCAATAAAAATTAAGGACTTTAAAAATCTCTTTACATTTTCTGTCAATATACATGTTGTAAAGCATTTTAGGAGGTCCTTTAATCACACAGTTTAAAACAGTAACAACTGTTGACAATGATCTAAAGACTGGTTTTTCACTGACCTAATCACACAGTCTTCTCTGGGGCGCGAGTCTGCTCTGATGCTTGGCCAAAACCAATGGCACGAGGTCAAAAGGCACTTGCACACACCTGACTGCGGGGTCTGTCATGGCAGCGACAGACAGACGTTCGTAACTACAATCAGGTGCTTGAAGCTCCTTGGCTGACAGAAGCTGCTCGAGTAAGGAAGTGCCATTCCATGGTGAGACTGCGCAACAGGTAACCAAGGGATGCCTCTGTCTGTGGAGGGGTCACCTGCGGCGTGGGCCACACTCCTGTGGTAATGCCCACTAGAGGAAAGCATCACATTAAGAAAATGGAAATACATTTTTTTTTTTTTTTTTAAATATAAGGCAGGTCAGACTCAGGGAAACCAAAACTAGAACATCCAAGAAGATGCAATGACTTTTGCACCTTAGAAGCCATGGCACCTGAGGGGGTTGGCATGGCTCCCGACACTCCCATTTCCCTTTTACGTCATCCTTTCAACAATGGCACATCTCAAATTGCTAGTGAATTAGCTGAATGCTGAATGTTTAAAAAAGGGGGTAATGTCTTATGTAGGAATTAGGAAAAGGCAGAGAAAAAAGCAAAGATAGAAATAATTATCACATCGTCTCCTAAAAATTTACATGTACCATAGTAACCTGTAAACGTCTCCCAAGTATTTGTTATAGGTGCAAATAAACAACGTAATTCAACTTTCAAGTAAAACTTATTTAATGATATAAAAAACAAGGACTTAAATACATTTATTATGAGTCAAGTAACTCCAGAAGTCTTCTGACTTTATAAGTGAAAAATAAATGAAAACTGCTCTGTGTTTTCCATATCAGAAAAACAAAACAACTCCACCTGTCACTTCTCATTTCACATCAGGGTAATTATTCTAGTGCTACTCAACCTAATACATTCTGGTTCATCTTTTTAGAGTCAGAAACACAAGTGTGTACCAACATTTCTTCTTTAATTTGCTTTCCTAAGGAGGAATGTCAACCTTCTGAGAGAAAATGGAGCATTTATATTCTGGAGCATCTCTCTGTTATCTGATCTTTAACGAAAGTGGGTTTTCATCTGACTTAGCTAACTTTCATTCAGAACAAGCTTGGTATTGTGAACATACAGAAGAAAATAAGACAACGAAACAAAAGCTAGAATTAAAAGCCAATATACAGTAAATGTCCAAAATTGTACACTCCCCCACAATTCCTAAAGTGAGTCCTGGTGCCCAGCCGCACGTCCGTCCCCCCGACTCTGAGAGGCAAATACATCACAACAGCAGCTAAAACCTGACGGTGCTGACCCTTATTTCTCCTTGGGTGTTTGTCCCGTGCATGTGCATCTCTAAGAACACATGCATTCCCCAAGTTTCAGGACATAAATAAGGCAAAAAAACACATTCTCTTTGGGGCTTACTTCAGTTCTTATTGAAGCTCTGTGGAATAACACAGTGGAGGCTAAAGAACAACTAGGTGTTGCTTCATTAATGAGTCCAACTAGTTTAGTGAACAAAATAGGTTTCCTTCCTAACCTTCCAACTTCCCGTTTACCTATATAGATCTGAGGGATTTAATCAGTCTGGTCCCTTGGGCAAAAGGGTCAGAAGTCATTGTCGCTCTCATCCAGGGGCTCGGGCTTCCGGACCCTTCGAATGGGCTTAGCTGGCGAGAGAGCAACGCTCTCATCTTCCAAATCGTCGTCTTCTTCATCACCCTCCATGTCAATCTCACTGTCCTCGGAGTCCTCCTACAGGAAGACAGCAAAGACAAGTGAGGGCCCATCTCACTAGCCGCAGCTTGTCAGCCGAGACCCTTACCCACCAGCAGCTCAGTAACAAGTAATGCCCGCATGTGAAGGAAGAGCTGGGCGGAGCAGCAGTCAGGCTGTGGGGGCGTGAGAGGGGGACCCACGTCCCACACTGCCGGCAGAGATACAAACATAACTGGCTCAGCTAACCAGTGACCTTCAGACACCAGTGTGCAGCCATGCTTGGTGCTGCAGGGGCTGGCTTTCCCACGGAGGTCTCAGCAACATCACTGGATCTGCGCCGCAGCTCACCGGAGGCTGCTCTGCCCCTGGGGGCCCAGACACCCACCAGGGGACAGCAAGGAGGGTGGGGCTTGGAGATTACGAGGGTTGGGTTTTTTTGTTTGTTTTTTGCCTTTTACCAGATTAGGGATGGAAAGCCACACAGGAAATGGGCATTAGGAGCAAAATAAAAGGAACACTCTCTCCATCACCTAGACCTAGGGTGACCAACTCAGCCAGGTTTTAAAACTGCAAGTCCCGTGTCCCAGGTAAACCAAGATGGCTAGCCACTCCCACCAGCATACATACATGCTACTATTTCCTTCTTCTTAAAAACACAACACAAAACAAAAACCCCAAAGTTAATCCCACCTTCCTCCCCAGCTGTTCTGCCCTGTTCTTCTACCCACTCTCCCAACAATAAACTCCTTGAAGGAGTTTTGAACCCACCACCTTGCTGGTTCTCTTCTCACTGCCTCCTCAGAACACTCAGCAGGCTTTCACCTGCCAATCTACTGAAACATTCAGCAGATTCAAATCCAATGAGTGAGTCTCAGGTGTCTCGTGACCTCTAGGCTGCATTGGGCACAGGACGGCTCCTTCCTCGAAAGCCACTCTGCTGCAGGGCACCCTTCTCTGTGGGCACTCGCCCCACCTCACTCCGCCATCTTCCCTGTCTCTCATACCCCCACGCCCTCCATCTCCCTGACTCTGCAGCTGGCTCAGTTTAGAGCCTTGGGCCTCCTCTTCTCTTTTTACTCTCTCCCCCACACCATCACATGTATCCTTGTGGCTTGAAGACCACCTAATTATGAGGGCTCCCAAATTCAACTCCAGCCCAGACCTGACCCTTGCACTCTAGACTTGAACTCCAACTGGCTACTCAAACACAGCATGTGGATGGCTGGCAAGCAATACATGGGTAGAATGTCCATAACCAAAGTCCTGCTCTGCTCTCCAAGCCCCTCCTCAGGCCTGCCCTATCTCGGGGAAATGCAAACTCTATGTATACTATTAGCCCATTATGACACAAGCAAGGCCTCCTTCATTTCTCTCTCTTACACCCCATGTCCAATTAACAAAACTTCATGGTTCTGACCTTGGAAATATCCAGAATCTGACCACTTCTTAACACCTCTGCTGCCACTACCTCAGGCTGAGCCGCCAGCACCTCTGGACTAGTGCAAATGCCTCCCGATGGGGGTCTCTCAATGCCAGTTAGCTCTTGGCACTACTGGGCTCACAATTTCCGTGCCCACTGCACTCAGAGAAAATTCCGGGTCCTCATCACGTCCTGCAAAGCTCTGCACGGCCCCTACTGCCTCTTAGTGCTCCTGCCCCCAGCCCACTCCATCCCAGTCACACCACCATCTCTGGTCCTCCAATGCAGGAACCCCATTCCCTGGGCCTTGGATGCCCCACCCTGCACCACAGCCCTCCTTCCATTCAGGCCTCTGCCCAGTGTCACCTTACCAGAGAGACATGCCCTGACTGATCAAAAGACATCAATCTCCTCCTTCAATCCTGTCACTCTGTTCCCCAAACTGCTTTGTTTTTCTTCTTGCCATTATGATTCGATGTATCCGGTTGATTACCACTGGAATGTAAGCTCCCTAAGGGCAGGGGTGTATTGCCCATAATCTGTAACAACACCTGCACATAACAGGCACTCGGTAATGATCTGTCAAGTGGAAGAGTGAGCAACGGGGACGAGCCTGTGTGGCTGCGGAATGTGTGCAGGCAGCCTCCTAGAAGCAAACAAGCGGCATGAGGCACAGGGGAGATGTCAGCTGTAGCCTGGGCATTCGTCCTGAGAAAGCTATGCACATGACCAAGCAGATCGAAGACGAGGGACCAGATGGTGCCGTCCAGGCATCCCCAGGACCCATGCCAGACTTCTGACTCCTGCCTCAAATGGGTAAGATGGATGGGCAGAAGCTACTAACCACCCACCCCAACTGTTAAAAATGTTTGAGGTGTTTCTCTGCTTCTCTAAGACTACCTTCTGTGATTTCAAGACTCAATCCTCTCTGTGCATCTTGGCCAGCAAACCTGAGTGACCTTTCCCTCTGTGGATTTTGGTGACAAAATACCCTGTTGGCACTAAATAAAAGGATCTTTTGTACAAGAATGTCAGGCTCAGGCTGTGTCCCTGTGTAGCCACTAGTGCCATGCTCCAGACACATGTGGCAGATGACCTGATGAGGAGGTCTGGGGTCTGGTGGTCTAGTCACCCTTTGCCTCTGGGACCTCACAGCTTACCAGGGACTGCCACAAAGAAAGCAGACCCAGGGTGATGGACGGGGCAGCCCTGGCAGCAGGGCCCCATTCCAGTGAGTTTCCCAGTCAGTATTACCTTAAGGACACTCAAGGCACCAGCAGCCTGATGCCGCAGCCTCCTGCCCAGCCTCTCTGAGGCTCTTGTCTCAGTAGAGCCTCCTTTTCCTATTTCTTCCCCAGAATGGAACAGAAGAGAGGGCTGGCCTTGGCCTGGGGTTCCCACGTTCCCTTCTCAGCAGGTTCCCTTCTTTTCCAGGTTATACTTCAAGGTCCTGATAACCTTGGCTCAGCACTCAACCCTCCTCTCCTGCCAGGGACCTTTAGGCAACTGCACCGTTCACTGTGTGGCTCTTGCCCAGCAAGAGGCATTACTGCTGAGGAAGGCTCTCTGGGGGTCCTAAGCCGGCTAACTAACACACACACAGGCTCTCTGGGGGTCCTAAGCCGGCTAACACACACACACACACACACACACACACTAACTAACACACACACAGGCTCTCTGGGGGTCCTAAACACACACACACACACACACACACACACACACACACACACACACACACACACACACGATGAAAAAGAAAACCAACCTGCTTCTTGGAGCTGGAATTCTTGCATTTACCTAAGAGAGCTGGTGCTGCTTCCATCTTTAGAAAGTGAGAATGGAAAGAACAGTGAGAAGGAAAAAAAAGGGGGGGGGCAAGCACATTCATTTGAAAAGAAAAGAAAAGAGCCATCAACAAGCAGAGAAGAGTCCAGCTCCTTGGGAGGCCGAACTCTGGCGCACACCCAGCAGCAGGCCAGGCTGAGAGGCCGCCCCTCGCGCTCAGCTTGTCGGCTCAGCTAGTCTACGGCTCAGCTAGTCTATGAGGCCAGCCTGAGACTGGGAAGAACAGAGCTGCTAAAGGGAACCAGTTGGGACTCACGTCGTCATCAGAGTCTCCGCCCTGCATTGTGCCCACGATGCGTTTGCTGGGTCTTCCTGAGGAGAACCAAAGCATGAAAAAATTAAGAAAACCTTGTTAAAAAAAAAAGAAAGAAAAAGCAAGGAATGGCATTCAAGACTTGTTTCCTTTAGAAAATTGGGAAAACAAGAATCAACTAAGAAATTTACTTAAGTTGCATCCAAATAATCAAAACTGCCAACAAACAGTAATGGATTTACTACATTTCCACTTTGAAAAAAAGGAAAAGGGTAATAAAATATAATCACTACTCAGAAACCAGAAAACTAAATATGCATCCTGTACAAGTTTTCAAAAAAAAAAAAAAAATCACTGAATCCCAGGGTAGCTCTATTTTTAATTTTTGAGGAACCTCCACACTCTTATTTACCCCAAAGATACAGATGTAGTGAAAAGAAGGGCCACATACACCCCAATGTTCATAGCAGCAATGTCCACAATAGCCAAACTGTGGAAAGAGCCAACATGCCCTTCAACAGACAAATGCATAAAGAAGATGTGGTCCATATATACAATGGAATATTACACAGCCATCAAAAAGGACGAATACCCAACTTTTGCATCAACATGGACAGAACTGAAGGAGATTATGCTAAGTGAAATAAGTCAAGCAGAGAAAGTCAATTATCATGTGGTTTCACTTATTTGTGGAACATAAGGAATAGCACGGAGGACATTAGGAGAAGGAAGGGAAAAATGAAGGGGGGGAAACAGAAGGGGATATGACCCATGAGATACTATGGACTCTGAGAAACTGAGGGTTTTAGAGGGGAGGGGGATGGGGGGATGGGTTAGCCCAGTGATGGGTATTAAGGATATACCTTAATACTGCATGGAACATACTGCATGGAACACTGGGTATTATATGCAAACAAAGAATCATGGATCACTACATCAAAAACTAATGATGTACTGTATGGTGACTAACATAATAAAAAAAAAAAAATCACCAAATACTGCTCTATCTATATGGTAGAACAGCTCTACTATCTGCTGAAAAAAGAAATGCAGTCTCCCTGCACGGACCAATGTTACTTATATTTGAATCTATGTCTGAGCTCCAGAGAGGAAAACTTTTGAGGCTCACCGTTAGTTCATCTTTCAAAACACCCACACTATCTCAGTGATTCTCCACTCTCCTCTGGAAGTCACGTTGCCTGGCTGTGACTTCTGCAAACACCCAGGAGCCGTCCTTCCTTGGCAGGAGGCAGACAGCTGCCCTCACACCCAAAGGCTGAGAAAGGAGCACCCAGGACCCAGTTCCATGCTGCGCGAGGGGCAAAAGCAGACAGGCCAGCTCACAGAGAAGCTCGCTCAGGACAGGCCTAGGGTGACCAAGAGCTAATTATAGACTTCCCTTGGTCAGATAAAATGCAAACCTTATGTTGTCTAAAGCCCTTATTTATAGTTCTTAGATTTTACTTCTGGTGGCCGAGCAGTCAGCAGAATTTAGGAGCACGAGTGCCTTTATTAGGTTCTCCTGAGCCAAACACATACCTTTTCAGAGCCTCAGCTCCCATCTATAGAATGGGAGTCATAACCTCTAGCCTCTATTTATATCATGAACCTGTTAAAAAATAAAAGGAGAGGGGTGCCTGGGTGGCTCAGTTGGTTGAATGTCTCTTGATTTCAGCTCAGGTCATGATCTCAGGGTCATGGGATCGAGCCCTGCGTTGGGTTTCACACTCAGTGTGGGGTCTGCTTCAGATTCTCTCTCCCTCTCCCTGTTCCCCATCCTGTGCTCACTTGCTCTCTAAAATAAATTTTAAAACCTTTTAAAAAAAAAAAAAAGAGCAGTTAGCAGCAAAACTTAATATAAAGTGAAGATAATTTGCCTCTGAAATGTATCATGTATATAAAAATGCAAACTACTCCAAATATTAACAGATGGTAGACAGATGTTTTAAAGGCAAATATAGAGCAATTTAGTAGTACCTATCAAAACAGAGATTTATATAACCATTGACCTAAGAATCCCACATCTAATGGTATGAACACTACAGATAAGCAGAAAGATGTATGTACAAGGAAAAGAGGAAAATAACTTAAATATATATTTTTTAAAAAATATCTTTTAATATGGGAATGCCCAAGTAAATCATGGGTACAGTCATGCTATGGAATACTATGCAGCTGTCAAAAAGAACAAAGCAGATTTCTAGTTTACTGACATGGGAGGAATTGTTCTAATATATTTAATAATAATTTTTTTAAAAAAAGCAAGTTGCAGAACTATACACAGAGTCTGGTCCCATTTAAGTTAAAAAATGTCTTAGGGGGTGCATGGGTGGTTCAGATGGTTAAGAGTCTGCCTGTGGCTCAGGTCATGGTCCCGGGGTCCTGGGATTGAGCCCTGCATCAGGCTCCTTGCTCAGTGGGGAGTCTGTTTCTCCCTCTCCCTCTGCCCCTATCCCCCTGCTCATGCTCTCTCTCTGTCTCAAATGAATAAATAAAATCTTAAAAAAAAAAAAGTCTCAGCTGATCTTTGTGTATTTCATGGTATGTGTGTGGAAAGGCAATTTGGAAGGGCACACCCCCAAGCCACTGACCAGGACCCCTCTAAAGGTGGAAAGTGAGGCATGAAGAAGACCCTCGGGGAACACCCACATTTGCTCCACAGATTTTTTTGCTTTAGTCTTTAGCAATGAAAAAGTAGAAACTAGGGCGCCTGGGTGGCTCAGTTGGTTAAGCAACTGCCTTCGGCTCGGGTCATGATCCTGGAGTCCCGGGATCGAGTCCCGCATCGGGCTCCCTGCTCGGTGGGGAGTCTGCTTCTCCCTCTGACCCTCTTTCCCTCTCATGCTCTCTCTACCATTCTCTCTCTCAAATAAATAAATAAAATCTTTAAAAAAAAAGAAAAAGTAGAAACTAGAAGATTTTTTAAATGGCAGAGATGGTTGTGTGAGTCCTTTCTCTGTGCATTAGTTCTCTGATTATAGGGGATGCTACTGCACTGAGAGCAGTGTGGACCCAAAGCGGGTAGAACACAGCTCCGTGACAGAAGCCGTGTATTCCCGTGGCCTCTGTGAGAAATCCCAGGCCACAAAGAAGAATCAGCTATTCTTGGGACCACAGGTAAGAGTATTAGCAGCAAAGGTGACCACTGAGCAGTTTAAGAGCTGAATCCTGATACACAGGAGGCCAGTGTTCTGTGACAGGGCACAGCGGGGAGGGCAAGCGAAAGCAGCCGCGGTACCTTGCATGAGCACCTCCATGGCCGGCCGCGGCTTGGACAGCCGCCTCTCCTCCAATTCACTGTCAGATTCATCATCTTCCTGGGTGTCAATGTCCGAGTCATCATTACCTGGGAGAACACAAGTACGCAAAACAGAAGGGCAGCTCCATTATTACCTCTAAAACAGCTTCTATCCACAAAGCTCTTGTGCAAAACCATCTACACTTCTCAGTCTTTCTTTTAGTGCATTAGATTTTATGAGACTATTTGCCTGTAGATACTTAGGAGTTACTGCAGACAATGATATACTGGTTTGTTTTTTTAAACAATCTTCCAGGGCGCCTGGGTGGCTCAGTTGGTTAAGCGACTGCCTTCGGCTCAGGTCATGATCCTGGAGTCCCGGGATCAAGTCCCGCATCGGGCTCCCTGCTCGGCAGGGAGTCTGCTTCTCCCTCTGACCCTCTTCCCTCTCGTGCTCTCTATCTCTCATTCTCTCTCTCTCAAATAAATAAATAAAATCCTTAAAAAAAAAAAAATAAACAATCTTCCAAAGCAAGACAAAAGTGGATCAGAATATATCAATTAGAAACACTTCTGGCAGCTGAAACTAAAAGTTGAATAGCCAGGGTGCCTGGGTGGCTCAGATGGTTGGGCATCTGCCTTCGGCTCAGGTCATGATCTCGGGGTCCTGGGATCGAGTCCCGCATCAGGTTCCCTGCTCCTTGGGAGCCTGCTTCTCCCTCTGCCTCTCTCTCTCTCTCTCTCTCTCTCTGTCTCTCATGAATAAATAAATAAAAAGTTTAAAAAAAAAAAAAGGTTGAATAGCCAGCTGTCAAGGTAGCTGAAAGCTCTTGGTTAGTTGGGGGGGGAAACCATTCTCTGTTTAGTGTTAGGTGATGTTACCCCAACTTGAGCTCTTTGTGGATAACAAAGATGAGGAAGCGGAGCCCCCCAAAAAGATGAGTGACTGCGCCAAACAAGCCCGCAGGCAAGACGGAGACCAGGCCAGGAATGGCCGAGCACGGCGGGCCTGAGAAAGATGGCGACCTAATGAGTGGCAACAAGAGCTGGTACTCAGGATACTGCTTCCGGGAGAGAATTCATCATAGACAAATATAAACAGAGATCGTTCTCAGTGCAACAGCCTTATACATTAATTTCTTAAATACTCTCCTGGAGTCAGGTTGGACATTTCCTACAGTGAATCTATAGAAGGGGAGTTTCCACAGTGGAGAGAAAAAGCTTTCACTGACCAGCCCGATTCCCTACAACCAGGGAGAGACACTGGTTTTGGAAGGACGGAACTGGAGGAGTTTGCAGTTGCTGTTCTGTTCACCGAGTCAGCAGTTTGGAAGGATAGTAATTGTGCATCTATGAAAAGGCTTCGCTTAGCCCCTGTGATGGGGGTAATGAAATGGCAGCTGCCTCTAGCTGGGCTCCGCTTTCTTCACCACGGAGGGAAGAGCTGTGCTCTCTGGCATGGAAGGGCAAACCTCGGAGCCAGGGAAGTGTGAGGAAGAGCACCCTGCCCGGGGCCTCCACACAACCTATCTGAAAACTACCACCTTACAAAAGCCTATACAGAGAATATGGTGAAATATTAATACAAATTCATGACTATAAATTGAAATTACTATTCAACTTTGCTCACTTTTTATTTTATCCAGGAATATTATGACATTATATCATTACCTCATGCAATATAAATCAAGTATTACAAATTTTAAAGTATCAACACATGTTTCTCAGGCTCAACATAATTTCTTCTGACAAACTCCAGCCAATACACTAAATTAATGTATGCTGACCCTGAAATCACCGAGTTATCAGTGATGCATTAAAATTAAGTATGGCAGGGGCACCTGGGTGGCTCAGTCGGTTAAGTGTCTGCCTTCAGCTCAGGTCATGATCCCAGGGTCCTGGGATCAAGCCCCACATCGGGCTCCCTGCTCAGCAGGGGAGCCTGCTTCTCCCTCTCCCTGCCGCTCCCCCCGCTTCTGTGCTCTCGCTCTCTGTCTCAAATAAATAAAGTTTTAATAAAATAAAGTATGGCAGACAAGAGCGCCCATAAAATTCAAAGAGGAAAGAACAGTCTTTCCAAAAAATGGTGCTGGAACAACTGGATAGCTACATGCCCAACAATGAGGTTGGACCCCTACCTCACACCACATGCAAAAATTAACTCAAAATGGATCAGAAATCTAAATAAGAATTGTAACTATAAAAGTCCTGCAAGAAAACCTAGGGATAAATCCTGATGACCTTAAATTAGGCAGTGATTTCTTAGATAATGACACTAAAAACACAAGTAACAAAAGGACAACTGATAGTGTGGACTTCATTAAAACTTTGTGCAGCAAAAGCCATCACCAAGAAAGTGAAAAGATAGTCCAGAGAATGAGAGAAAATATTTGCAAATCACAAATCACATAAGGATCTAGTACCCAGAATATATATAAGAACTCTTGCAATTCACTAATAAAAAAATAACCCAATTTGAAAATGTCCAAGGACATGAATAGACATCTCTCCAAAGAAGATTTATATGAATGGCCAATGAGTAAAGAAAAGATGTTCCATTTCATTAGCTATCAGAGGAACTCATATCAAAACCACAAAGAGATATACTTCATACCCACTTAAACAGTTTCTTTGTGTCTCCTTTGAGATCAGCACAGTCCAAAAGAAATGTAATGCCTGCTGGCAGATGTAATTTAAAATTGTCTACTAATGGGCACCTGGGTGGCTCAGTTGGTGGGGTGACTGCCTTCGGCTCAGGTCATAATCCCTGAGTCCTGGGATCGAGTCCTGCATTGGGCTCCCTGCTCGGCAGGGAGTCTGCTTCTCTCTCTGACCCTCCCCCCTCTCATGTGCACTCTCTCTCTCTCTCATTCTCTCTCTCAAATAAATAAATAAAATCTTTAAAAAAAATTGTCTTTAAGTAACTACGTTAAAGTAAAAAGGAACAGGTAAATTAATTTTAGCAATGTTTTACTTAACCCAATATATCCAAAATATCATTTCAATAAGTAAACAATGTAAAATATTAATCAATGAGTAATTTTACTTTTCTATCATACTAAGTCTTCAAAACCTGGTGTATATTTTCCACAAACACCAAACCTCAATTTGGACCAGCCACACCTGAAGTGCTTAAGAGTCACACATGGCTTGTGGCTAGGTATGGGGTGGCACAGTTCTAGACTCTGAGCTTCCTGAGTACCTCATCCATCACTGTGTCCCGAATGCTGGCACGACGCCTGACATGCAGTAGGCAAGCAGTAAAGTAAGTGTAAATGCAGGAACATCTGCTCTTCACTACACGATAAAAACCACAGCAAGGTTACTAAAGTGTTTTCTAGAAATTTCTGGGTCATTTTATGAATTTATCACCAGCAGTGAGGGTTTAAAAGGATGATGGGAAGATGAAGGCTGCCCTTACTTATATTACAGAGCATCTGAACAAAATACTTGGCCTTTTTACTCTCTGGGGCTCCTAGGGCATTCTCCTGTCTCTAAGCACTCAGACTTTCTCTCTCTTCTTCAAGTCCCTTCCTCCAAACCCACAAAGCCAATTTGGTGACTTCACCTCCTGCTCAACAGAGAAGACAGGAGCATCAGATGGGAGCCCTTCGGCACATGATCCTTCTTCCAGCTTGTCGGTCCTGCCTGAGTTCAAGTCCTGCATTCACACATTTAGCAAAACTCATCGCCTCACTGTGCTCTGGTTCCCACCCTCTCTTACAGACTCCCAGGACTCTCCTCATCTGGTACCTCCTTTCTCCCCAGATCCACTTACTTAGGCTTTGCTTAAATAGCATCTCCTAATGAGGCCTACGCTGACCCCCTATTTAAAATGCAATTCCATCCCACCCTCCCCATCCCCTTCTCTGTTCTACTCCCCCCCCAGCCCCCGCTGCCACCCCACCCCCACTACCAGGGCATTTTACACCTTCTGCTTGCTTGATGTTTGTCTCCTCACTGGCAAGTAGACTGGTTAAAGCAAAGGTCCCTGTCTTTTGTCCACTAACGAATCCTTTGCACCCAGAAGAGATATTCAACAATGCTTTGTTGCACTTAATCAGCTGCCTGCAGAATGGTCTAAATATGATGATCTCTTCCAGCTCCTGCATTTTGCTCATTCTTGCCCCTAATTCATGTCTGTGTCCTATTAGGTTTTTGTGTTCAGAGAAGTTTTTCAGAAAGTCTTCCTTTTTCTATCTCCCCTCAATCCCAATTCTCTGGTCAATGTTCCCACATATATAGCAAGGAAAGACAGAACACCCTAAAAACTTTAGGGTGAACAGAACTGAGAATGGTCCTTCATATTTTCCTAACTTCTTTGCCCACCCCAAGCTAATTAAGTGCTATCCTTTATTCAGTTGGTTTAAACTGGAAATTATTTTTCCAAAAAAAGTAAATCAGAGATGCTCCTATGAATGCTTGTCCTTCAAGAGATCCCAAACCTATGGATAACAAAATTAAAGTGTGAGTTCAGAAGAATAAATCAAGATCAGCGAGAAAGGTCTCACATGCTGGCTCGGGAATGGAGCAGGGTACAGCCGACCAATCAGGGCTCTTACCTTTGCCGGGCCACTCAGGAGGGGATAAACTCCATGCAGCCTTATCACTTAGGGCCGCTTCAGGCTCTCCTGGCTGACCTGGAACCATAAAGGTGAGGGGCTGCTTTGGCTAGAGAGGCCCTTGGAATTCCCTAAACTTGCCCCTAAAGGATTTTCCAGTAGTCCCTATTCTCCCTCCAGAGTTTCCTGAGATTTAGGAGAGAGAGGCGTAGAACAAGTACAAAAGGAGACAGAGAGAGAGCTCACACACAAGCCTGAAGTTCCAGGTAAAGTATCCTCAAGCACAAGAGAATAAAATATTTCATCATAAAAAAGAGAGCAATAAGCAAGAGAAGGAGGCACCCTGAGACATGCAGCATGAAGACTGTGCGCTGCTACGGCTCCCGAGCCTGACCTGACACCTCAGTGAAGTTCGAGGAGAAGCTCGCTAACCAGTGACAGAGAACAGTCCTCCCCAGCATCGAGCTCCTATATATAGGTAACCCCCATTTCCCTACAGACGACAGCCTCACTGAACCATCTTGGATTACTGGGGGACCTATAACAGCCAGGTGGGTAGGGGGACCCATTCACAGGCACAGCATTACGACACTTGCTTTCTACCAGTCTGCCCTAATGTAAGGAACCCTACAGACCTCCAAGACCCAGTTTTCTTTCATAGTTACATATTATATGCAATTCAAACTAACAGTATCATTTAAACAGGAAAACAGTATTTTAGTTGACAAGAAAACCAAAGTGCTTTAAATGTTATGTAATTTGAACCAGCCTCTTAAGCTCTTGCGTGATTTAAAATGGTACCTGATACAAAACTTGTGAGAAAACTGCCTTTTGAAAATAAATAAAATATACACAAAGATTTTTCAAGGCTACCGCCACCCACCCAGAGGAAAGAGCCCCGTCTGTGAGCGTGGCCTTACTTCCACTCCGGAGCAGGCGCTTCTCTTCCTCCTTCAGCTTGTTCTGCATCAGGCGCAGAGTGTTTTCAGCTTCCTATGGGACAGCAAATACAAGATTCAGAAGAGAGGACCCTTTTATGGACTGTTATATTATTCTTTAGAATTTGGGTAAGTAGGGCTACGTCTGTACTGCAGAACCAGTGAAGATCTAAACCGCACGAAAAGAACGAACACCGCCTGAGCAAGGAGCAGGGCCGGACCCCAGGGCCCCCGCTCTCTGCCAGCAGGAGCAGCCCAGACAAAGGAAGGCAGCCAGAAGTGGTGCAGATGGCCCTCCAAGCCCTGCAGAGAATGGAACAACGGGTGACAGGCCATCACATGTGATCACGTGTGCCGCCATTGGATGTCAACACAGGAACAAATGCATCAACTACGGGCCTCCTGCTCCTAAAGACTAAAGCTCTGCACAATTCCAGCCCCAAAGATGCTTAACGGTGAGACTGATCAGGATGAAGAGAAAAATAGAAATACTAGTCTAACCCCTAGGGGGACAAAAGCTAATGCTTCAGCTGGGTTACAAAATGTGGCCCTGATTACCATCAAAAGAGAGAATGGGAGAGGAGATTGATTTTTAAAATTTTGCTATTGTTCTAAACATTAAAAAGAGAGCACTGTTTCATGCATGAGATAGCCCTAGGGTCCCGGTGCTTTAAGCATAGAGAGGAGAGAAGAGCACAGGAGAAAAAGAGCCAAGTAGCCGCTGAAGGGTGGAAGAACGCGCATCCCGAGGCACATTCTCTGGCACACTCTGTGCACGTAGTGGCGGCCCCACATGATAGCACGAAATGCTCACTTTACCCTCACTGGCCCTTTTCTGTTCTTTCCCAGATACCCAACTTTTAAAACGTCCTGAACTCCAGGCTCTTTTCACTGCCCTCAAAATGTGCCTGTCCTGGACCCTGTTGCTCCGCAGCCTGCCCCTACCCTAGAGCAATGGTGGCAAGGGCTCCTTGTCAAGAGAAACGCGTCCACAGGAGTGCAGCAGTTACCCCCAGCCAGGCCTCCTGTACCCCAGAACAGCTTCACCTCATTCAAACACCCAGGTTTGTAGGAAGGCTACCATAACCTTTATACCAAAAGCTGTCAAGGACAGTATGAGAAAGGGAGACTGTAGACCAATTTCATCGTGAACAGATTCCAAGCGACCATTTTTGGGTTAAGCAAAAATATCCCCAAGGGATTAGGGCAATTCAGAGTGATAGTAGGGGCGCCTGGGTGGCTCAGTTGTTAAGCGTCTGCCTTCGGCTCAGGTCATGATCCCAGGGTCCTGGGATCGACCCCCGCATCGGGCTCCCTGCACCATGGGAAGCCTGCTTCTCCCTCTCCCACTCCCCTGCTTGAGTTCCCTCTCTCACTATCTCTCTCTCTCTGTGCCAAATAAATAAATAAATAAATCTTTAAAAAAAAAAATAAAAAGCAGTCTCTGATAAACTGGTTTGGATGATTCAATTAACCAGGGCCCCTGAAAATCTTTCACTAAACTGACCAAGCAAATTTTTAGATCTTTACCCAAGACCAGTTACCTACTCTTGGGACTCAGTGCAAATTAAAATGCACTTAAAAATTATGAAGAATTTCAAGCCAATGATAGCACAGCATTGAAGCAAGCACAGGCCCTTCTGAGTCTTGTGCAATGACACAGGTCACGTGTCGGTCCTGTCCGCAGTCCTAACTGACCAAACCCATCAGAGAGACCAAACCTGGAGGCCAGGCTACACTAACAGCAAAACGAAAGAATTACATGAGCAATCCTCAGACTTGATCGCAGAGAAAAAACATTCACAGATTTTTTTTTCTACAATGATATTTACAAACTGACACGTCAACAAGTACAAACTAACCCAGCAGAAGGAATGGTCTGTACAGAGATGTGGGCTAAGTACTTACCTCAAACCTCTCTTGCTCCATCCTATGATGGTCCTCGAGCTGCTGTTCCAGATAAGCCAGATTTCGAAATTTCTCTAGATAAACGTCATACTGCTTTTGCAACTCCTCCTCGATCTTCTCATATTCATCCATAAAGGCTGGCCTGAAAAAACCGAATGAAATAAAAAGTGAAAGATTAATCAACATACGGAAGTCTCATCATGGTTTGCTGTGGAAAGCCTTTAGCTGGAGACAGTTCTTCAACTTGTAGGGGCTGAAAGTTAATTTTCCTTTTCTCCTCCCTCTCCTTGAAAGGAACATACTTTTTTTTTTTTTAAATCAAAAGCTCTTCGGGGCACCTTGGTGCCCCTAAGGCTCAGTGTCTGCCCTCCACTTGGGTCATGATCCCAGAATCCTGGGATCGAGCCCTGTGTCGGGCTCCCTGCTCAGCGGGAAGCCTGCTTCTCCCTCTCCCTCTGTCTGCCGTTCCCCCTGCTTGTGCGCACGCTCTCTCGCTCTCAAATAAAATCTAAAAAAAAAAAAAAAAAAAATCAAAAACTCTTTGTAAATCTGAAATAATCCCAAAAGTATGAAGACTAAGGTAAAAATTATTCATAATCCAGGGCACCTGGGTGGCTCAGTTGGTTAAGCGACTGCCTTCGGCTTAGGTAATGATCCTAGGGTCCTGGGATCAAGTCCCGTGTCAGGCTCCCCACTTAGTGGGGAGCCTGCTTCTCCCTCTGATCCTCCCAGCTCAAGTGCTCTCTCGCTCTTTCTCTCTCAAATAAACAAAATCTTTAAAAAAAATTACTCATAATCCTATCACCAGATAAAGGACTTAATATTTGATAAGCATCCTTCCAGACTTTTCTATGCATGGACACCTATAGGAATGTATTTTTAAGCATCATTAAGTATATTACCCTCAAAGAAGATTTGCAGTCTTTTTTTCTTACTCAACATGCCCTGGATTTTAATAAAGACTTAAAAAGTAATCATGCATCATATACATCTCACAAAATCAAGAAGTTAAATATATGCATTATCTTAGTTGAGCATAATATTCTGTCTGAATGCTCCAAAATGTATTCAGTCCCCAAAAAAGGGAAACATAGGTTGCTACATTAAAGCTAAACTTTTTAAAAAGACTTTATTATTATTATTTTTTTTTGAGAGTGAGTGAGATAGAGAGAGTGCGCACAGGGAGGGGCAGAAGGAGAGGGGGAGAGAGAATCCTCAAGCAGACTCCTGCTGTGTGGGGAGCCCGATGTGGGGCTGGCTCTATCTCATGACCCTGAGATCACGACCTGAGCTGAAACCAAGAGTCCAATGCTTAACTGACTGAGCCACCCATGTGCCCCTAAATCTAAGTTTTTAACAATATAAAATCTAAAACCAAAACCATAACACAAAAACCTGTTTCAACTGGTTTGCTGAATCTATTCTTTTCTCTTATTTTTGATCTTAAAGGGAAAACGCTCTTCTTTTAAAAATATAAACAGATACACTCAGAAATAATAAATCTTTGGGAGTAGAGCAAAACACAGAAACTTTTCTAATGAAAGGCCATGAGGCTTAACAAAAATGAATTTATGCCCGAGAGGCAGAATTTTTTAATGAGATACATTTATCAGGTGGCCCAGATTCCAAAGGTGGAAGGGGCGTGGGTCTGCCTGTGGCTGGTGCTCCCTGGGTTACTCATGTCCCCAGGGGCTGCCTTCCCACAGATGTCAGGACGGTAGCCAGGGTGTGGCCCAGTCACCAGTATCTCCAAAGAGTACAACATTTAGACAGATGCAGCAGCTACACAGATGGAGAGAGAAAAATAAAGGGAGAATGAAAAGGATGAGTAGTGGTGCAGGAGAAAAAAATGACAAAGAGACGGAGCAAGAGAAGGAGGGTGCACAACGAGAGAGAGAATGGTTCCAAGGAAACGTAAGGAACCCACTTGAAAGGCTCTGAAGACCTGGAAGGTATTGTGCACCACCATTATCCATTCATATTCCCTGGAAAAGGTACTTTCAGAGAGGGAAAGTCAAAAGAAAGATGAATTACTGGTGAAGAAATATAAAGATCTAAAACCTACTCAAACCAAGAAATGGGAGTATGCTTCTGTTTCCACCTCGAGCCTTGCATAACTTTCACCATCTGGATTCACTTACTCTGCCCTGCATTCCAAGAAGCTATAAAAGCCTGAAGGGAGGTTCGAGAAGTGAGCAGTTTCCCAAGCATACTGAAAGCAGTAAAGACAATGAGTTTGGCAGAGCATTTGTTAGAATGCACGTGGCCCGCACACTTTCAGTCCAGATGGCCTTACACCTGAGAGGCTACCACCACTGACCACATGTCCTCACCCTGCTTGAACTTCCGAAGACAACTTTCTACCCACTCTTCAGGTGTTCGGATCTACCTGACACTCTGCAGAGTCTGAAGCCGCTTCCGATTTCGTTCCAGTTCTAATTTCCTCTTCTCGATTTTGGCTTCTAAATTAGCTTCATCAGAGGCCACATTATTGAGCATATCTTTAGTCTTCTGCACCTGCGCCTGCATTGAACAGGAAATGAATGAGACAACGTGCCAGTAAGGAACTCCCACCTGACTCCTGGAAGAGAGGAATTCCACAGCTCCTCAGGCACAGCGACATCATGCTACATAAAAGCAAAAGTAAACACACAGAGCAAACCCTCCCCCAAGCCATCACTCAGCAAACTATTTCCAGACGGGAGGTCACACAGGCCCAGAAAAAATGATCATCCTTTTTCCACGAGAAGAGGGTGTTTGTGCCCAGGAAAACAAATGAAGATGGTGAGAACAGTGTCCTGAGCAGAGGGGAGCAGGCCCAGACCTCTTGGGTAGCTCACTTGCTCACACTGCTTCCATACCACTCTCGAGTGTCAGTCTGCCTTTATTCATATCGTTCAGCTCACTCCCCTAGTTACACATATGTGCCTCACAGAATATATGCACCCACACATACGGCTTTATTTAGGAGGGGACAAAAAGAAGTATTAGGTGGTCCCAGCCCTCATCCACTGCCTGCTGGGACTGAGAGAGAAGGTTCTCTTCCCTCCCACTGACAAGTACAACTACAGACTAAAACAGAGAAACCACTCCGTGAAGTCACCGAGCAAACGGCTCCATTAGTGGACCCAGCTTTTGGAGGGAGCCTGTGCAGCAGGTACAGAGAAAGAAAGTGAAGGGGAAGAAAGATCATGGACAAAACCCACACAAGAGCAAGTTCATCTGACAAGGGATAATCAGAATGAATGCACGGTCTTCACACTTGTCTTGTCTCAGAAAGATGTCCAGGTCGGGCCTGTGGCTCAGTGGTGATCCGCCTTTTTTTTTTTTAGGAACAATGTCTAGAACGGAGCCAGCTGAGTGTGCGACTGCCTTCCGAGTTCTGACGTCCCAACTCTCCTTAGTTCCTGTTGCCCAGAATGGGTTCTCCCCACCCGTACTTTGGCACAAGGTGTTGTGCCCCACAAAGGCTCAGTGACGGTTTACCTACAGGTCTCTGAGACGCTATGGCGTCCACAAAAAAATTTTCGAAGGAGCCCAGACGCTCTCTGAAACAGTCAAAGACAGTGTATATTTGGAAGCAACCACTTTCATTGTTTATTTATGGTTGAGTTTTTTTCAACTAAGTACACTAATCATTTCCAAGATGTTATCATGAAAATAATCTTATCACTATCCATTTGCTACAAGTGCTTTAAAAACCCCACATGAGACATGAGTTTACTCTCACAGGAAGACAAGGTGAGTTTCTGAACAACTCACATTGATGGCAACTATTTCTCTGAACAAGTCAGATTAAACCTAGTGAATTTATCTGACTTCAAAAATAAAAGCAATTTGTTAAAGGTACATGCTCCTCAAATATGAAATATCAGTGGGGCACCTGGGTGGCTCAGTCGGTTAAGCGTCTGACTCTCGGTTTTCACTCAGGTCATGATCTCGGGGTCGTGGGATCAAGCCCCAAGTTGGGCTCTGTGCTCAGCAGGGAGTCTGCTTGAGATTCTCTCTCACTCTGCCTCTCCCCAATGCATGCACGAGCCCACACGCTCTAATAGACAATCTTTAAAAAAAAAAGTTAAAAAACAATTATCAGTGTGATAAACACAATTTTCCCTAGCTTTCTGAAACAAATGGCCTATATATCATAACCCCTTTTAAGTATCCATATTGTTGCTTTGGTTTTGTTTTTAGAATTATCAAATATCATAGATATTTTGCAACAACAGATACATTAAAAGGTGTTCACCAACTATGTTGTACACCTGAAACTAACGTAACATTGTGCGTCAGCTATAATTCAAAAAAAAAAAAAAAAAACGGAAATAATAGGGCACCTGGGTGGCTCAGTCGATTAAGCATCTGCCTTCGGCTCAGGTCACGATGTCAAGGTCCTGGGATCAAGTCCCTTGTTGGGCTCCCTGCTCAAAGGGGAGTCTGCTTCTCCCTCTGCACGCACACTCTCCCTCTCGCAAAAATAAATAATCTTTTAAAAAAAGGAAAATAATACATACATACATACATACAGGGAATCACCAAGAAATGAATGGTGCCCTCATTTCACTATTCTAATTTATACTTAGTGTTAAAGGCACATTCATGCCATGTTAACTTGATCCAACCAGAACACTGACAAGCACAAGAGCATCAGCAGATAAGAGTTCTAAATTGAAAAACAATCACAAACTTACAAACAGCTGGATTAGAACATAAAGCATTTTTTTTCCTGACTTAGGTCAGAGTGGGTTGCTGATCTGAGGTCCCATCACCTCTAAATATTTGTGTATATTTCCTATGAATAAGGACTTTTTCCTTCACATCCATGACACAATCACTGAAACATGAAATAAACACAGATGCACTATCAACCATCTAATCCTCAGACCCGCTCAGATTTCCCCACTTGTCCCTGTGGAGTCTGTAACATCAGGCGGAGTTCACCCTGGCATTCAATAATTAATCACCTGATTAAGCGGTTGTCTGCCAGGATTCTCATGTGAAGTCACTCTTTTCTCCTTTGTAATTACTAAGTACTTTTGGGCAGAGCTACTTTGAAACTATATGAAATACCTTCTCTTCATCAGCGTTCAGTATGTTCACTTTTATTTCAGTAAGAACTCATGGTCTCCCATTTCATTCAATGGTCTATAACCCATTACACTAATTTATTTATTTTGAAGCGTAATTGTCCCTGGCTTGACCAGGGGAAGCCCACTCAGGCTGGCAACTGTTTTGCAAGGGATTTTGACAGATCCCTTTCATTCTCCAGGCATTTCCTTGCTCTCCAACACAAGAGGATCTTGTACTTTCCTGTCCCTGCTCTGGACTCAGACACTTCTCCCCAAGAGTCCTGGTTCCTTTTAGTGGAGAATGCCATTTAGAAGCCAAGATCTGGGTGCTAGGTGTGCTCAGAGCTAGGAAATGTATGAATGTGTATGTGGGTGTGCATGCGCATGTACATAAATATATGACATACACTCATGTACGAAAACATGCATGCATAGCAACAGTATTCCTAAAGCTGGCTAGCTACCTACCTATCTATCCAATGAAAACCATGCATTTAACCATCACCTCCAATTTCAGGGTTCATTTTAAGTTTCTTTTTCATATCTGCAACTCCCTTTTCCAACAGTGAGAACCTTCGCTTCCGTTATCTTTAACATATTTACCTACGTGATCAGTCTGCCTGTATGTAACAGACCTCCCATCTCAGCTGCCCTGCCCTCCTCACCTGCTGAGGCTGAACCCTGGTGCTGGGTCGCCCAGGGAGTAGTATTGTTTTATGACAAGGATATTATAAAAACCTATCAATCTTAGAATTTACAACTCTCAGCAAATCCTTGTTTTATGCTACTCCTACTTTACATAAGGCTCTCCTGTGTCTACAGAATAAAATGAATCCCTAATAACAACTGAATACCAACCATGTGCCAGAGACTATGTACAACACGCACTGTCATAATGAATGTACATAAGGACCCTATGGGGCAGACACGGCCATTCTCCCCATTTTACAGTTGAGGAAAGTGAGGCACAGGGAGGTTAAGTAACTTGCCTAAGATCACACAGTGGGATTCAAACCCAAGCAGTGTGAGTCTGGAGTCTCCCTCACTACTGCCCTCCAAATGAATGTGTCAGATGAGATAAGCAAATAATTGATTGTGGGTAAGCAATAAAGGATGGCAGTCATTCTGTTCTTCACAGCACTAGTTAGAAATCTCTGCACCCAGGGGCACCTGGATGCTGCAGTTGGTTAAAGTGTCCGACTCTTGGTTTCAGCTCAGGTCGAGCTCGGCATCAGGGTCTGCTCTCAGCGAGGAGTCTGCCTGAGATTCTCTCTCACTGTCCCTCTCCCTCTGTGCCGCACCCCCCAGCTCATAGGCTCTCTCTGAAATGAATCTTGACAGTGAGAGAGAGAGAAAAATCTCTGTGCCCAGGTTTCAGCACCAGAAACACCCAAAAAACAAAAAAAAAACCTCTGGGAAAATCACTTAAATGCCCAGCAGTGAGGAAGTGGTTAAAGTGTGAAGAGTCCATTAAACAGAGCATTATTTATGAAAATTATTGAAGAATTTAAGCAAATTACTATATTATTAAAACTGACAAATTTTTAGGGAGAAGTTGTTCATATTTATAACAAAGGGAAAAAAACAGAAGTAAGTAACCTAGGTATCCTAGAATCTCTTCTGCATCTTCCATTTCCCCATGATCATATACCTTCTCTGTCCCTAGGCCTAGGGTTGTTCTGTCTTAAGAAGGCAGGGAGTAAATCAGTATTTTCAAGTCCCAGGCACAAAAAACATTAAATAAAAGCAAATAAATCTTACCAAAATATCTTTTATTGCAATTCTCATCACTTTTTCAGTCTCGTTTATTTCCAGAGGTCTGGCAATTGCTTCTGTTCTCAGTTCCTATGAGAAACAATGAAATGAAATTACATGTACTTTGAGGAAAGGAATTCTCAAAACCAATCCCCAAATCTGGATACGGCTTATAGACTAGTTCCGAAAGTTCCATCACAGGGTGCATCTCTGATGCAAAACCACTTCTTCCAGCCCCTCTTCCAAACGTCTTTCTTTTTCTTTAAGTACTCTCTACACCCAACGTGGGGCCTGAACTTACAAACCAAGATCAAGAGTCATATGCTCCACCAACTGAGCCAGCCAGGTCTCAGTTGGTAATCCTACCACCAACCTGGCCTCCCTCCGGTGCCCTGGGCCTTCCCCAGCTACAGGCCCCACATTCTCACAACACAAGGGGCAAAACTGAGCTTACCCCTGTCATCTTTTCTCCCAAATTTGCTTCTTTACCTACATTCGTTCAGGTGAACCCCAAACCAAGTGCAGCTCAACCTGCTGTCTGAACCCCCTGCCAGCCCCTATCATCTTTCCTATGATTAATTTCCTCTAAGTTGCCTGTCACTGCCCACTGCAACCAATGAGAGGAGTCACCTTGGCCCTGCCCCTAGCATTAACCATTAACCAATCAAGGGAGGCATTTGTGCCTATCACACCAGCGCTAGGAACTTCTGAGACATGGGATTTCAACACCAGTGCAGTTATGAGGTTCCTGCAGCACTTTCCCAAACTGTCTTGGGCTTCCTTTATTTCATGGTACCCCTCAGCTCCAGCACTGGTAGAAAACTATGGAGGGCAGGGATTATGACCAACACAGAGCCTGTCTGTGGCTGGAGCTAGTCCTCAAGGAATGTTTGTTGAGTGTATGAAAAACCAATACTGGATAGAGGATCTTCCTCAGATCACAGCTGTATACAGAATTTGAGTAGCTGGCTCCCACGGCAACACTTCGGCCACTGATTCTTTCAATTCATTACAGGATGGTGCCAAGAGTCCCCAGTGGAATCCTGGTTGAAGTCTCACAATGAAACCAGTCTGTGACAATTATCAAGTAACCAGCTCTTGATAGGTCTGTCTCTAGGTCTGCTAGACATGTGTGTAGACACAGGCACACAACTGCACTATAAAGAGAAAACACAGAAATCCTGGAGCTGCCTTGTTAGTTATCTAAATTAGCTATTAGATAGGAGTGGCAGTTTTGTTCTGTCAACTGCCCTTTACCAGGTGGCGATCGCTAGGTTAATATATCAATGATGGTGAGCTGGCACCCCAGTCCCCTGCTCCCAGTCTGCTCCTGGGGCAGAAATGAAAGGCCAGAGGAAAAATACCATTACACTAGAGCCGTGATGCCAGAACACAGGCCAGGCGGTGAGAGAGGTCATGGCTGACACACCTGACTGCAATAAAATGAATTAAATGCATTTAACTTAAAAACACTAGAAGTGAGCATGTATGCTTCAAATGCCATAAGTCCTTACAGGTAAGAATTAAACAATACTCCATTTCTTCTTAAACCAGTGGGTCCCAAACTCTGCTGCACATTAGAATCACTTGGAGATCCTTAAAAGCTCGATGCCTGGAGGGTGCCTCGGGGCTGCAGTTGGTTAAGCGACCAACTCTTGGTTTCAGCTCAGGTCATGATCTCAGGGTTGTGAAATCAAGCCTCACACTGGGCTCTACACTCAGCGAGGAGTCTGCTTGAGATTCTCTCTCCCTCTCCCTCTGCCCCTCCTGCTTGTGCCTCTCTCTCTCTCTCTCAAATAAATAAATAAATCTTAGGGGGGGGGAAAAAAAGGCTGGATGCCTGGCTCTCACCCCCAGACATTCTGATTCACTGGTATGGGAGACAACCTAGACATGAGGTGATTTAAAAGGACTACAGGAGCTCTATAGGGGTTTTAGGAGCCATACTCTTATTAAATAGCTCGGTAAACATAGTAGATGAAGTATTCTTAGTTGGCATTGGCTAGAACAAGGATTGCAAATAAATTTTAACGGTGACACCAACTTTAGCTAAGGAATAGTGACAGCCCTTGTTGGGCTGTCCAGCACTGCTGCACATTAGAATCACTCCAATGCCCAGGTCCACTCCAAACCAGTGACATCAGCATGGAAGCCAGGTATCAGTAGTTTTTACAGGTCCCCACAGGATCCCACATGGAAGGAAGGTTTGGGAACCAGGGGCTCAGAAGAGCACTTTGTAGACAGGAATGCTGAGTTCCCCAGGAAAAACACCATGACCAGGAAAGTCTGCCACGGGCGCGAGGAAAGTTCCAGCAACATGCTACATAATTGCCATTCCTGAACTAGAAGTTAAAGCTATTAAAAGCAGACCAGCGGCCACTAGAAGCAGGAACAGCAGCTACGGCTATTACCACCCTGTAGATCATCTCACTTAATCAGATACAGTGTGATGAAATGAGCAGGCCAGGAAAAAGCAGAATCGGAAAGAAAACCTTGAAAATGCTTAGCTGAGGAAGTATTTACGTATCTGAACATGGCTCACCCTCAACTCTACCTCCTTGCCCAGCAGGTCATACAGAGATGCTCCTTTGGAGGTGATTTCAGAAGCAAGTTGCCTGGCTGCTTTCAAATCTGCAATCTGGAGGGAAAATATCAAAACCAGAAACTTCAGTGACAGGTTTTTTGCTTTTTGTTTTTTTGAAGATTTTATTTGACAGAGAGACACAGTGAGAGAGGGAACACAAGCAGGGGGAGCAGGAGAGGGAGATGTAAGCTTCCCGTGGAGCAGGGAGCCTGATGTGGGGCTCGATCCCAGAATCCTGGGATCATGACCTGAGCCGAAGGCAGACACTGAATGACTGAGCCACCCAGGCACCCCCAGTGACAGCTTTTTAATAGACATTCAGAAACAACCAGTCTGGGGCGCCTGGGTGGCTCAGTCGGTCAAGCGTCTGCCTCAGCTCAGGTCACAATGTCAGGGTCCTGGGATCAAGCCCCTCGTCGGGCTCCCTGCTCAGAGGGGAGTCTGCTTCTCCCTCTCCCTCTGCCTCTCCCACTGCTCGTGTGCACGCGCTCGCTCTCTCTCAAATAAATAAAATCTTTTTTTTTTTTTTAAAGATTTTATTTATTTATTTGAGAGAGAGAGAATGAGAGCACGAGAGGGTCAGAGGGAGAAGCAGACTCCCTGCCGAGCAGGGAGCCCGATGTGGGACTCGATCCCGGGACTCCAGGATCATGACTTGAGCCGAAAGCAGTCATTTAACTGACTGAGCCACCCAGGCGCCCTCAAATAAATAAAATCTTTAAAAAAAATAAAAAAGAAACACTTTGTTAATATCAATTCCTGCCTCCCATCAGGATACCGGACTACTGAACACGTTTTCCATAAGACACGTATTTACATCCTGTGGAGGAGTGCTCCCAGGACATCTGGGTCTCTCTAAAAATCCAAATCTCAAGTCGAATGTAATCTTTAACCAGAAACTGCAGGAGGGTGAAAGTGACATTCTTCCTGTTTGGACGAGGTCACATCAGGGGACCCCGACAGTAGTAGGGCGACCAGAGGGGAACCTGAGAGACACATGTCCTACTGCAGAATCCTGCTGCCCCCTGGCTCTCCGCCTCTGGACGGCATGGCGCAGGGCTGCTGCGGCTCCCACGAGTTAACCAGCACACAGCCCCACGGCAGTACCTGGCTCCCCCAAGGGTGGCAGCTGCTGCGAAGACAGCGGCCTCTAGCGTGCAGCACAAGCTTCTTCCTTAGAATGCATAGGTCACCCCCACTTCCTTGCATATAATAACTTCTCCAGAGAACCCAAACATTTCCTTGCCCTGTTCACTCTTCCTCTCTCCAATTTCCACCTTGCTTTTATTCCCAAACCACCAGCAGCACGTCTCCCTCTGCATTCACAGCTGCTGACTTTCTTCCCCTTCCCTTAGCCCTCCAGGGTTCTGCTCCCTCCAGCTCCAGCTCCCCGCTCCCCAAACCACCTCATAGCAGCAAACACCTCATAGCAGCAAACGTCCCATTTCCTTTGCAGGAGTCTCATCATCTCCCCTGCTTCCCAGCCCTGGAGCCATCAGAGTTCAGTCGCCTAAACTCTTCTCCACTCACACTCCCTCCTAAGCTCCTGGCTGTAACACCTGCTACAACCCGAGGCCGGACACCTCATACTGAACGTGTTCCAACCCAAACACTCCACCTTTCCCACTAGGCCCGCTCCTCTCACACTCCCCTCCATTTCAGTAAAGGCAACTTCGCCCCTGCAGGTGCTCAGAGCTATGGTGGCTAAAACAGTGTGGACTTGCCACACGTGGCCATTTCAATGTTAAATTATTTAAATTTATTTTATTTTATTACGTTATGTCAGTCACCATACAGTATAAATTATTTAAATTTAAATAAAATTTAAATAAAATTATTCGGTGGTGCTAGCTACATGTGGCTAGTGGCTGCTAAAGTATGGCATAAAGAACACACCCATCATCACAGAAAGTTCTAGTAGACAGTGTGGCTGTAGGATCTTCTTTGCATGGTCCGTTTTCTCTCAACCCACATCCAACCCCATAAGATCCACATTCAAACTAGGTTCTAACCCCTGGCCACTTCTTTCCACTGAGGAGTCTGGCTCCTGGTTAAAAACCTAGGTGTGATTTTCCCCCGCCTGACCACAGGTGATCACAAAGGCTTTCCCCTGCAGGCCTGATGGGGGTGACCTGAGCCCAGGCTCAGCAAGACACTGCAGGCTCTGAAGGGACTGGCAGTCAAGGACTCAGGGCTTCTGACCACCCCCCACCCCCGCATTCATCATGTGCATTCCTAGCCCTGGGGCCTTCACTCCCAGGTCTCTTCATGGAGGGCTGAGGTCCTCTTCAGCACCTCTGCCGCGGCCTCCTTGTGGGGGAGCTGGGGAGAAAACCTGAGGACACTCTTCCACTCCTAGTCCTCCCCCACCTCAGAGTGCATAAAACTGCCGGAGCCTTTTGTTCAGAGCTCCCTTGGGAGACAACCCCTTGAAGGGTGTGCCATCTCCTGGGAGAAAAAGGAACAGCGTGGCGGGAGGGAGAGGTGACGCTTCCTCTGCTTTTAACCCCTTGACCAAACCATCACAGTAAGTGATTAAAGACTTAACTTTCATTTTTGGCTTGCTGCTTTCATCATGTCCTCTGATGCGTGGCAGCTCAGCTCTCCCTCATCTCAGCTGAGCTCCTGACATCACCAACCACTCTGTTCAAAGTCACTGTCATCTCTTGCTTTCTAACAGGTCTGCTTACACCCTCACTCCCCCTTCAGTCTGATCTCAACCCAGCAGCCAGAGGGATCCTTTTAATATGAAGTTTCAAATCATGTACTTCTCTGCTCAAAACACAATGATTTTCCACCTCAAAGTCAACCTCTTTACAGTGGTTGTGCAGGCACCACAGGGCGGGGTCTGTCACCGCCCCCTCCGAGTTCTCATGCTCTCCTCGAATGCCCCGTTTCCTCAAACACACTAAGCACACTTTTATCAAGGATTACCTTTCCCCTTCCACTGCACGGCTTGCTCCTTCCCTCCTTCAGATCTCTGCTGAAGACGTCACCCATCCCATCTCCCTGCTGAAGATACCTGCCCCAGCCCTGCTTTACCATCCCCCACACCCTGACCACCTCTGACCATGACATTCCTTCTGCTTTGTGGTTTAGTCTGACTCCCCCACTGAGCCATAGGAACAGAGGATTTCTGTCCTTGCTGTTCACGTCTGTATTCCCAGCATCTGAACTGAGCCTGGAATATAGTGGCTTTTGGTAAGTAGTTGGATTAATTTACTGTGACTTCTTTTTGTATCCAAATGCTGATGAGCACAAAACTGACAAACTGCTCTCAGTCAAGGAGTAAGGAAAGAAGTGATGACATGAGTATGTGACATGTTCCATTTCAGAGTTTAAGAAATACACATACTGTCCCACACTGGGAGCCTTTCATTGTCCTTACCTTTGAGCCAAGATCAAACTTGAATTTGCTGATGTCCTCCTCTCCTATCTTAGAGCCCTCCATCCCTTTGGTCTTCATGGCATTATAAAGGACAGAGGTGATCTTCAAAAGCTCTTTCACTGCATACCCATCTGCCTGATAAAGCTTCTTAGTATTGAGTTTTATATGTGCCTTGGTGGCCTATTTTCAGACCAAAAAAAAAAAAAATAATAGTGTAAGGCCTTTTCCATGTAAAATCTAAATCAAATCCCATGTAAGTAATTTGCAATAACCTGATTGTATTGAGTCAAACTTCCAAGTGACTCAAGTGCTGCAAATGGGTGTCTAAACTTATATAATCTTGATGGAGAGCTATTTGGTAAATGACAATAAAATTAGAAATCCACCCATCTTTGACGCAGCAATTCCAATCCTAAGAACTTACCCTAGGGATACAGTCACAAAGTGATACGTATAGGTTATTCACTACAGCATAGTTTCAAAGAGCAAAAGTTACAATCTAAACGCCTAACTATATATAAATTACATAAATCATGGTATACTCATGAAAGCAATACTACTCAGGTATAAGACAGAATGAAGAAACTGGATATGTATTTGGAAAGTTCTCCAAAACGTACCATTAAGTGAAGAAAGCAAGATTCTAAGCAGTGGTGTACCGTATGCCACCATTTGTGCAAAAGGAAGGGGACAGAACATATACTGTGTTTGCTTATCTATGTGTAAAAAACCCTGGAGGATGGAAATAGGGATGAACTGGGTCAACAGCAGACAAAACAAAAAGTCATTTTACTCTATACTGCTTCTTAATTAAGAAAAAACTTTGAACCATGATGTATATTACCTATTCTAAACTAACTAAATAGAATTCTTAAAAAATAATGAATTAAAAACAAAAACCTGTGCTGGCGAAATGCCTCCACAGGAACCTGGTGACCAGATGGGCTTAGGCACCGTGAAAGCAGCCCCAGCTGGGACTCATCTGTAATGTACTTAATATCAAAATTCCAGCAAATAAATGTCAACTAACCAGGAACTGGGCAATTGCCTTAATGAAGAAAACTCGGTCTTGTTCAGTCTCAACATCGGAAGGGATGTCGGTCTGGGGTTCATATCTTTCAGAGAAAGAGAGAAGACAAGTTAATTAAGTACAAAGTTCACAAAAGGGAAAGTAGGCAGCTGAGAGGATCTGTAACAGCAAGCTCCGAGTCCCGGCTAAGGTAGTAAGATTAACAGAGACTTCAAAAGCAGCATAAAATGCACCCAAGGGAGTGAATCCTCACCTAAGAACAGATTTAAGTGATTTCAAAAATCAAATTTGGGGCTCAGCTTACAAAATTAAATCTCAGACCTCAAAGTTTAATTAAAATAGAACTATTACTCTAGCTGACAGCCCTTGACCCAGGGCTAACTAGTTAGCTTGAGAAGCAGCAGCATTATTGGAGTTCTTCGAGTTACTGATGACCCACCAGGGGTCAGCGGACTGCAGCCCTTGGTCTTTTTCTGTACAGACTGAATGCTAAGAAGAGTTTTTACATTTTTAAAGGATTATCACAAACAAAACACATGGAAGAATATGCAACAAAGATCTTATGTAGCCTGCAACACCTATAATATTTATGATCTCAAAAAAGTTCGCCAACCCTGAATCATATTAGGTTTTTCACATGAACTGAAATCTCAATCTAAATGATTTCTACTTCAGTGTAGTCATTAGAGTGTGTGGACAGATCCCTGTCACTCCCTGATCAAAGTGAGAGCATGAAGAGGAGCTTGGACCAGTGCCCAGTGTCAGCTTCTAACTGAGAAATCTCCTTTTACCATCGCCTGGTATATTTCCTCTCCACAGCGCTCTTCATACTCAACTGATTTTTAACAGGTTACAACTAAGTCTGTCAAACTCAAAATTTATTGAATTCTTCCCTTTGCTTCATCACAATATCCAGTTTCAATAGGTGGCTATTGAATAAAATAAAGCGCTCATTCTTAGATCTTAATAAAGTACATTTCTAACCGTTTCACAAGCCAAAGCAGCACTTCAGACACAAGTCCAAAATTTGGTGTGCGGAAGTTTTCCATAGAGATATGGCGAGGGTATCCCAAGGCTCTCATCATCTCTGTAAAATCTGTCCAGAGGTAAAATACAGTTCAGTCAGTTCCCCATCAAAGAGCAACTACTTATTTACTTAGATACTTTCCTTGATTTCCCTTTTTATTCCCAACATACTGACAGTTTCAGGGACTATTTATCAAGTCTCTAAGAGAGAAAGTAAAAAGGACATGAAAGTTAAAATACATAATCTGCTTCCTGAAAAACATTTAAGTTCAATGTGAGGAAAAAGTGGAAGCTGTACATTATAATAGGGTTTAGGGATTGGCTGTGAATAGAATTTCTCTCTTTGATATGTCATTTCTCTCTTGGATATCTTTCTCTTTACCACTCAAAATGAGAAATACCTGGTTTTATAAAATGTCATAAAGAAAAAATATGTTGGGGCACCTGGGTGGCTCAGTAAGTTGAGCGTTGGACTCTTGATTTTGGCTCAGGTCACGATCTCAGGGTGAAGAGATCGAGCCCTGCATGGGCTCCACACTTAGCAGGGAGTTTGCTTCTCTCTCTCTCTCTGCCCAGCCACCCTGCTCATGTACAAGTGCACGTGCGTGCTTTATCTTTCTCAAATAAATATTTAAAAAATATGTTAAATGTTAACAGTGGTTACGTTTAGGGGTGATAGTGGTAGGGCGAAGTTCACCTCTCTGAGTCATTCTGGAGTTGGCTTTTTAATCTTTTTTTTAAGATTTTATTTATTTATTTGAGAGACAGAGAGAGTGAGGGGCAGAGGGAGAGGGAGAAGCAGACCCCCCACTCAGCAGGGAATCCAATGCGGGGTTCATTCCCAGGACCCTGGGATCACGACAAGAGCCAAAGGCAAACCTTAACCAACTGAGCCACGCAGGTGTCCCAATCGCATTGTATTTAAAGAAATCTTAAAGAGACTGGTTCAACTATACAGCAATATTTACATTTTTTATAAACCAGAACAAGAAACAATAATACTAATACTAAACCAGAGGTAGTGGTCACTACGCTTTAAGCAAAATGAGAAAATGAACACAACAAACGTTTTTTGCGTTTCCACAACATGCCAAGATCTACGTTTGGTGCGCTTCTGGCTGTATGTAATGCCTGTCCTTGCTCTTCCTGAAGGTTCCAAATATCTCAACAACATTCACAAAAAAGCTACCTGGGCACCGGAGCTTAGGTTAGATCTCACCAGGCAATAGAAGGTACGAGCAAAAGGGCGCCTGGGTGGCTCAGTTGGTTAAGCGACTGCCTTTGGCTCAGGTCATGATCCTGGAGTCCTGGGATCGAGTCCCACATCGGGCTCCCTGCTCAGCGGGGAGTCTGCTTCTCCCTCTGACCCTCTTCCCTCTCGTGCTCTCTGTCTCTCATTCTCTCTCTCTCAAATAAATAAATAAAATCTTTCAAAAAAAAAAAAAAGAAGGTACGAGCAAAGGAAAGAGCAAGGGCACAGAGGGCCCTTGACACTGTTTTCTGGGAAATGTGAACAGAATGATGATCAATAAAACAGAATTCTTCCCACCACACAGCCAGGCATTGCCTCAATACTTCTTCCCATTAAGTAGTCGTCAAGTTCTGCTAAATCTGCAAAATGGGGACAATTTGACTACAATTCCTATCATAAACTGCACAAATGTATGGTATTCATATAGGGTCAAAACATTCAGAAATCCTTTGCTTACACCTTCCTTTTAGCAGAACGCTGGCCTCGGCCTGCAAAGGAGGAGAAACCTGTCTCTACAACACACAGTCGCCACAAACCCTCAAATCCCAGAGAGCATAATTCACACTATGGTGCTACTATATAGTGTGTCCCCTATATTTACATGGTAGAAAAAGAGCGATTACTAACTGAAAGGAGTAATCGTTAATGGTGCAGTGTCCAGCAATTCGTTAGAAAACTGGCAGTAAAGATCGCGCTCCAGATCACACCAAATTGGCAATCACCTGCTACACCTATGCAGGTGGAGCCAGTTAGCCAAACAGCTTCAGATTCAGAAAATGACGGCACATAAAAAACAAAGAATTTTGACTCACACAGCCCCACGGCTCCAATCGTGCTTTCCACTCAGTTCTAGCTGCGTGACTTAAAGTAAGCTACTTGACCTCTCTGTGCCTCCAAGTATTTCATGTAAGGATCGCACTACCCACCTCACTGTACACGTGAGGACGAAAATCAGATACTGAATATAAAACGCCTGGTGTGTTAACAGGTGCCCCCAAAAGAGTAGGAACTAATTCGCTTATCTCCATTCCACTCCCCACTCTCCTAGCAAAGGCACTTGGGTTCCCTTCTCCTCGACAGTCCCTTTAGGAAGGATGAGGCTTTGGAAGCCAGATAAACCGAATTCAAACTCCCGCGCCAGCTCCCACCGCCTGTGTCCTTGGGCCGAGTTCCCTAACCTTCCTGCCCGGTTCCCGCTCTCTGAATACACACACAGTAGTTCAGAGGAGTCAATGAAACGATGCACACGCATACAACAGGAACTCCCCGGCAGATCGTAAGAACTCAAAAAATGCCACCCGCAATTATCATTCACTAGTCTCCTCCTCGGTTTTGTTCGTTTTTCTGAGCTCTTCACCTAACCCAACTCAAAAGCAGTCTCAGCGTTTTCCAACCCGGTAGCAAGCAGCCCCATGTGGCCATACAAGTCATCTAAAATTAGACAAAATTAACACTTCGGCTCCTCATCCGCCTAAGCCCACGCGGCCAGGGGCACACACAGCACCTCCCGCCAGGTCGGAGTGCTGACAAGGGGCGGGGGCGCTCGGCCTGGGGGGCGGTAGCGGCCAGGGACGCCCCGGAGCCGCACAGGCCCGTGCGGGGGTACTCGGGCCGCGAACCCGCAGGGGACAGCGGGAAGGGCGGCCTTACTGCGGAGGTCGCGGAAAGACATCGTGCTCTTGGTCCCCTGCAGCCCGGCGTCTGGGCCGCTCGCCCCTCAGCGCTCATGGGTCTCTATGGCAACGCACGGAGCCCTCGACGGCGCGCGGCGTGGGCCAAACAGGACCGGAGGCGAAGCAGCCCGGCCGCGTGTGTGCGCATGCGCAGGGGCGAGGCGCAGGGGGTGTCCCGGGGAAGCCAAAGAAACCTGACCGCGGCAAGCGGCTGCGAGCCGCGCGGCATCTGGGTCCTCTTAACACACTTTGCAAACATACATCTGGCCCTGGCGGACACATTGTGAGCACCTACTATGTGCCTGACGCTGTGCTAGGCGCTCTACGTACTGCTTCTCATTTCTTCCTCAACTCCCTAGAATGTACGATGTCACGAAGCCGGGTCTCCCTCCTGGGTCCTGTGCCAAGCACATTTCTCCCTAGCATGGGTAAACTCGCTGGTTTCGCGGGCGACCGAGACCCTCGAGAAACGGCAAAGGGATGAAAAGGCGAGGCCGGGGACGTGGGAAGAGAAGACCCAGGCTAGCCGCGCGGCGGCGACAAGCGACCCGGTGGCGACTAGGCATGCGCAGCTCGCTCGGGCTTCACGACAGGCCGGAAACCGGCCCGGGTCATCGTTCGCCGGCGATTGTCTTGGCAGCCGAGGCTCTTGGGGCTGGGACGTGGTCGTGAGCCCTCGGAAGGACGGTGTGGCTGCGGGAGAGCTGCGCGCGAGACGTGGCCTGCTCAGCTGGGGGCTCCCCTGGGAGTCTTCCCTGTTCCGCAGCCACGGTGGGAGGCTGGCGACCGAGAAGGGCTGGGGAGGGGAAAGAAGTGTGGCGACCCGGAAGGGCGGGCCCAGAGGAGAGACTGCCACCCGCCGGCCGCCCTCCCCCCTCCCTTGGCGAAGGGACACACAAAAACGCTGGGACCTCAAAGAGATCCTGAGCTAGAGCCACACGCACCTGGTCAGTGTGATAAGGGTGGCATTGCTCTTCAGTGGAGAAAGAAGTCTTTCAACAAATGATTTTGGGACAATTGGAAATCCATATGCAAATAAATGAACCTCTGCCCTTTCCTAAATGTAAAACTTAAAAAGCTGTAGAAGTTTTCTAGAAGAAAGCTTAGGAGAAATATTCTGTGACTGTGTTAAGCAAGATTTCCTAAATACACCAGAGGTATGATCCTTTAAAAAAAGGGGGGGGGGAGGTTTAGGGCGTCTGCCTTCCGCTCAGGTCATGATAACAGGGTCCTGGGATGGAGCCTCACGTTGTGCTCCCTACTCAGCCGGGGGGGGGGGGGGGGGGGGGGAGTCTGCTTCTCCCTCTCCTCTCCACTCTTGCTCTCTATCAAATAAAAATCTTTTTTAAAAAGATTTATTTTTAAAAAAGATTTTATTTATTCATTTGACAGAGAGAGACACAGCGAGAGAGGGAACACAAGCAGGGGGAGTGGGAGAGGGAGAAGAAGGCCTCCTGCGGAGCAGGGAGCCCCATGCGGGGATCGATCCCAGGACCCCAGGACCCCAGGACCATGACCTGAGCCAAAGGCAGATGCTTAACGACTGAGCCACCCAGGCACCCCTTTAAAGATTTATTTGAGAGAGACAGAGCACAAGAGGGGAGAGGGTCAGAGGGAGAAGCAGACTCCCTGCTCAGCAGGGAGGCGGATGCGGGACTCATGCTGGGACTCCAGGATCATGACCTGAGCGGAAGGCAGTCACTCAACCAACGGAGCCACCAAGGCACCCCTCAAATAAATAAAATCTTAATAAAAAAAAAATGTTTTTTTATAAATTGCACTTCAACAAAATTTAAAACTGTTCTTCAAGACACTTTTAAGAAAATGAAAAGATAGCCCACTATCTAGAAGAAAATATTCACAAAACACATTTGATAGGAAGACTTGTATCCAGAATACATAATGAACTCTCAAAACTCAATAAAACAATCTAATTAGAAAGTAGACAAAAAATTAAGATACTTCACAGAAGAAGATATATGGCAAGTAATAAGCAAATGAAAAGATGCTCAAGATTATTCATCATTAGGGAAATGCATATTAAACACAATGAGGTATCACTAGGCAGTTACTGAAATGGTTAAAGCAACAAACAACAACAAAGACCCTTACAGTGCCAAGGGTTTGAAAGGATGTGGAGCAACTTGAACTTTTGTACGTCATTGGTGAGAAAGTAAAACAGTGCAGCCCCTTTGAAAACTGGTAATTTTTTATAAAATTCAATATACATTTTACATATGGCTCAGCAATCCCACTCCTAAGTATTTGCCCAAGAGAAACAAAAACTTGGCTTCACACAAAAGCCTGTACACAAACAGCAGCTTTATTCATAATCTCCCAAAACTTGAAACCATTCAAGTGGCCCTCAATTTATGAATGGATAAGGAAATTGTGGTATATCCATATAATGGATTACCACTCAGCAATAAAAAAGAAACAAACTGCTGATATACAGAACAATGATGAAAGGCCAAAGCATTATGCTAAGTGTAAGAAGCCATACGTCCTGTATGATTCCATTCATATGACAATCTGGATACGATGAGAATATAAAGACAAAAAACAAATCAGTGGTTGCCAGGAGGAGTCAGGTGCAGAAGAATTTTTTGGGGTGATGGAACGGTTCTATAACTTGATCACGGTGCTAACTACATGACGGTAGGTGTTTCTCAAAACATAGAACTAGGCATTAAAGAAACCCTCAATTTTACCATATCTGAAATTGTATCTCAATGACTAAAAACAAAAAAAGCCTTAAAAAAGCAAAACTATTCAATGGCTTCCCATTGCAGTTCAAATAAAACTCATACCCCTTAGCTGTGTCTGTTTTTCTTACTCTCTTTCCTCCATCTGCTCTGGCTTGCTTTCCCTTAAACATGCCCACCATCTTCCTGCCTCAGGCCTTTGCACACGCAGTTCCCTTGGCCTGCAGTGCTCTTCCCAGCTTCTTCAGATCTTTGTAAAGAGGCCTCTGGACTGCCTACACCAAAGCAGATACTTCCCAGCCCCTGCCTGTCACATTACCCTGTTTTATTTTCTTCACAGTGTGATCTGGAAACAAGCAAACGCTTGTTTTCTGTCTCTCTGGTCTGGACAGGTAAGCTCCATGAAAGCAGATACCTATTCTGCCCTACTCTGGACTCTCCCCAAGTCCATAATAGTATTTGGCACTCTGTAGGTCCTCAGAACGTATTTGTTTAATACCTGACTGGCTGAATGAATGAATGAAGTCACCTCACTTTGGTGAAAGGTCTTTGAGGAAAGGCCATGCAGTCTGTTTCCTGCCCTCCCACCCCACCCCCATGCTCTGTGCTGGCTGTGATGCTCACTTCCAGGCTGGCTGTAGGCCAGGTGCTGGTTAGCTCCAGACTTGTGTGCTCACAATAGGCCACTGGAAAGCCCACCAGTTCTGCTTTAAGTTAGAGCAAACTCTGAACACTGTCCCTAGAGGGTAGCAGTCCGCTGATCCTGTACTGTGATGTAGTTTTGGAATATAGGTGAGGTTGGTGGGGTGAGATTCAGAGCCCACGACCAAGAAAAAATTCTTTAGATGTCTTTGGTGCAAAACGATGGTTTTATTAAAGAATGGGGACGGACCTGTGGGCAGAAAGAGCTGCTGCACTGGTGTTGTGAGGGGTGACTGATTATATACTTGGGAGTTGGGGGAAGTAAGGAAAAGGGAGGTGTCCAAAAGGACTTTCAACCTTTCTTTAGAGGACCTACAAGATACTGGAGACCTGGCTATTGTCAAGGTTGTTTTTCCCTCTAGCAAGGCATATCAGGTTATTGATATGAATGCTTTTTTCCTTGTAAATCACTAAAACATTTGTAAATTGAGGGAGACTCATGTCTTGCAGGATTATAATCTCCATTTGTTTTTTCCTTCCCTTAGCTTTAGGGCAGACAGGGGTGCCTGAGGAATGTCACACGTATCCCACCTGGGGAAGGGGGTAGGTTTGAGGGGTGTCAGATTGTGCTTTATCCTCAGCTTGCCTTCTGCTCCCTCATCAACTGTACTCAGCATCCACTATAGTTGGCAGAGCACAAACGAAGCACTTGGAAGGGAGTCAGAGCCTCCTCCCTTGGTTTTTAATTTTTTAAGTTAATTAATTAATTAATTAATTAATCTCTGCACCCAGCATGGTGCTGGAACTCACAACCCTGAGATCAAGAGCCACATGCTCTCCTGACTGAGCCAGCTGGGTGCCCCGGATCTTAATTTTTTAATAGTTTTATTGACATATGAAAAATGCACATATTTAAAGCGTGCAATTTAGGGCGCCTGGGTGGCTCAGTTGGTTGGGCGTCTGCCTTCGGCTCAGGTCGTGATCCCGGGGTCCTGGGATCAAGTCCCCCATCGGGCTCCTTCCTCGGCGGGGAGTCTGCTTCTCCCTCTCCCTCTGTCTCTCTCGCAAGTGAATAAATAAAATCTTTTAAAAAAAAAAAGCATGCAATTTAATGTTTTGATAACTCTACACATGCAAGAAGCTACAATCAAGACAGAGAACAAATCTTCACCCCTGGTTTTTTTGTGCCCCACTCCTCCTACTCCAGGGGAACATTGCTCTGCTTTCTGTCACTGTAGATTTGCATATTTCTAGAGTTTTATATAAATGGAATCATACTGGGGCACCTCGCTCAGTCAGTTGGCTGTCTGCCTTCGGCTCGGGTCATGATCCCGGGGTCCTGGGATCGAGCCCCATGTCAGGCTCCCTGCTCAGCGGGGAGTCTGCTTGTCCCCTCCCTCTGCCTGCCGCTCCCCTGCTTGTGCTCTCTCTGTAATAAATAAATAAAATCTTAAAAAAAAAATACCTGTTCTCAATTCTTTGGGATATAGGTGGGAGTGAAATTACTGTGTCATATGGTAATTCTGCGTTTAACTAATTGGGAACTGCCAGACTGTTTTCCACAGTGGCTGCACCATTTTATATCCCCACCAGTAATGTCCAAGAGTTCCAATTTCTCCACATTTTCATTAATACTTGTCATTTTCCTTTTTTTAATAGCCATCCTGTGGGAGTGAAGTAGTATCTCACTGTGGTTTAAATTTGTATTTCCCTAATGACTAATGATGTTGAACATCATTTCATGTGCTTGTTAACCATTTGTGTATCTTTTTTGGTGAAATGTTTATTCAAGTTTTTCATTCATTTTTAAATTGGGTTGCCTTGGGGCACCTGGGTGGCTCAGTCGTTAAGCATCTTCCTTCAGCTCAGGTCTTGATCCCAGGGTCCTGGGATCGAGCCCCGCATCTCTCTCCCTGCTCGGCCAGGAGCCTGCTTCTCCCTCTCTCGCTCCCCCTGCTTGTGTTCCCTCTTTAGCTGTCTTTCTCTGTGTCAAATAAATAAATAAAATCTTTTAAATAAATAAATAAATAAATTGGGTTGCCTTTTTGTTGAGTTTATAGGTGTTCTTTATATATTCTGGACATTGTACTTATCAGATATATAATATACAAATATTTTCTCCCATTCTCTAGGCTGTCTTTTCACTTCTTGATAGTGTCTTTCATAGCACACAAATTTTCAATTTTGACGAGGTCCAATTTATCTATTTTTTTCTTTTGTTGCTTGTGCTTCTGTTACCATATCTAAGAAACCACTGCCAAATCCAGGGTCATGAAGATTTACCCCTATGTTTTCTTTAAATAGTTTTATAGTTTAAGCTCCTACATTTAGGCCTTTGTTGTATTTTGAGTTAATGTTTGTATATGGTGTGAGGTAGGGGTCTAACTTCATTGTTTTGCGTGTGGCTATCCAGTTGTCCCAGCACCACTTGTTGGAGGGACTATTTTTACCCCATTTAATGGTCTTGGTACCCTTGTAGAAAATCAATTGACCAAAGATGCATGACTATTTCTGGACTCTCTTTTCTATTACATTGGTTGAGACGTCTAGCCGTACACCCCTTCCCCACTGTTTTGGTTATAGTAGCATTATAGTAAGTTTTGTAATCAGGGAAAAGGAATCTTCCAACTTTTTCTTTTTTAAGATTGTTTTTGGTTATTTGGCTTGTAATCCCACGTGAATTTTAAGATCAGCTTTCCTGTTTCTGTCTAAAAGGCTATTGTGATTCTGATATGGATTTCATTGAATGTGTAGATCATTTTGGGGAGTGTTGCTGTCTTAACAATGTTAAGCCTTCAATCCATGAACAAGAATTTTGGGGGGGGGAGTATTTTACTTATTTCTGTAAGTTTTGTCGTTTTCAGTGTTGTTTTGTACCTCCTTAAATTTACTCGTTTTATTTTTTTTGTTCTCTGCTAGTACATAAAAATACAATTAATTTTTGTGTGTTGATCTTATGTCTTGTATCTAATGAGCTGAACCTTTTTTCTCTCTACTGGTTTTTATCAGTTCAAATAGTTTTTGTTTTTACATGTGAATTAATGTTTTCCCTACATGAGAGCCCGCCATCTGTGAATGAGGAGAGGTGAAAGTTTAACTTTTGCAGAAACTGTCTCCCAAAGCAGTGGTAGCACTTTACATTCCCCTCAGCAGTACATGAGAGCTCCAGTTCTTCCACATCCTTATACTTGGTACGACCCACATCATACCCCATTATCTACTTATAGGGCAATGGACAGTGCCATTTTAGAAAAATTAAGTGACTTGCTCAGCCATCCAGAACCACCTTCTCAGCAGGCTCAAAGCACTGGCTCAGATCTCACAAGTCTGTGTCCTTAAAGCTTCATTTCCCACCCATGCAGGAGCAAACTGAGACCCCAAGAGGTCACCCAGGGAGTGACTTTCCAGCCTGCAAGAGCTGAGTCTGTTTCGTGTGGCCTGTCCCAAGCCAGAGCATCAGGGACCTCCCCTCGGCTTCCATCCCCTTCCCTTGCCCTCTAGCCCCCTGCCCCAGCCCTGGGCATCATCCCCTCCCAAACTTGGGGGTCCAGGAAGGCTGGGAGTCTTCCATTTGACATCACAGAGCTGGTTACCATGGGAGACCTGCAGACCCAGGCAGGGGAGAGTAGAGCCCTGCTGCACAGGAGGCCCAGCCGCTCCTCCCCCACCACGTGGCCCTCCATGGAAGCCTTGGTCTGTGCGTTCTCTGAGCTGCGCATAAGAGAAGGTGCCAGGCTGCAGGGAGGAGTGGCAGGAGGAGAGATGCCCTCCTATCCTGACCTGGGCCCAAAGCCACCAGAGTGGCCTCAGGGACGTGCATGCTTGGGAGAGGGGAATGGCCACTGCTCTAGGCTGTGTGACCCTGGACTGTGTGATCCTGGACCCACTGTGCAATTCCTATACTGACACCGGAATGCTCTTTCTAGGGTAGGGGGCAAAAAGGGGTGGTAGAAAGGGCTTGAAATCCTGAAAGAGATCTTTGTGTCATGATCTCAGGCTTCTCAGACCTTCCTGTTGGTTGGGAAAGGGAAGAGGAGTAATATGTTGGGTGGGGGTTGGTAGGAGGCAGGGGAATGAGCCCATTTGATGGAAAGGTAGGCCAAGGCTCAGCAAGCCACGGGTGGAGCCCATCACACAAGCTGGTCTTAGAGCATGTGACTGTGTTCTCCCTTCTTGGCTGCTGAGGCCTGCCAACCTCCACCCTCCTGCTCTCCCCTCTGCAGATGCAGTGAGCTGGGCCCGAGGACATCCCAGCCACCCTGACACACCACCCAACATCTACGAGGGGGGGCTGGGGGCCCAGGAGCAGCAGTGCCCCGGTGCCCAGGGAAGCAAGCCCAAGAACTTCCGGCTGCGCCACCTCCGGGGCCTGGCTCTCTACCTGCCGGGCCATATGCAGGCTGCCGGCCAGTGTGAGAGCCACTGGTTGGGCCGGCTCATGGCCAGGGGCTGCCTCCCACAGCCTGAGGGCATGGCCTGGCCCCTAGACCTTCCACAGGGGACTCTGGGCCCACGTAACAGCCACTGCTCAGCCCTTCTGGAAGCTCCAGTGCCCAGGGACATCCTAGGAAATACAGGTGAGCACCTGTCCAGGTGAGGCAGAGCTGGGGACAGGAGGGAACGACTCAGGGAAGGGTTGGCTGGGGACTCAGATGGACCGAGATGGGCCCTTCTTCACTCCCAAGGTTCTGGGGTTCCTGCCCCAGCTCTGCACTCGGTGAGGGACCTTGAACAGCTCCCCACCATCACACCTGCCGTCCCCAGCTTCAGTGTGCCCATTTGTAAAATGAGGGGATCGTTAGACAAGGGTCCTTCCAGCTTGAACCATTTGTTTCCTTCTTCTTCCTCCCTCTCTCATGGGCTCTCTTTCAGGAGAACTGCCCCTCCCTTCCTATTTTGAAGAATGCCAGGTTCTGGGGGTTAGGGGGGTGGGTTCATAGGATGGCCTGGCAGCCTCCACTTGGGTCCCTCCGAGTGACTTGTCTCTCCCTACTTTCCTCAGCTTCCAGTTCCAGCGCAGACCCAGCCAAGGGTGTCCCCTCCCAGCCTGGTCCCTCTGAAGTCTTGGGACTCAGGCCCAAAAGGTCCTGGGAGACCTCAGAGGAGTCCACATGTCCCTTGTGCAAGAGAACCCGCTCTGGGGCTCTGGAGAGACCATAGGGATCTGAGTGCCAAGCCTGGCTGTCCCAACTGGGGACAGGAGGGAAAAGGATGGCTCAGGAAGAGGAGGCAGGTCCAGACAGGAAGGGCTCAGCCCCTACCAGCAGTCGCCCCACACTGAGACACCCCAGCAGCTGCCCAGCACCAGAGCTTGGGCCGGCCTCAGGCAGAAGACTCAAGGGGGGGGGGGAGGGAGGAGGAAGTCCTGCGGGAGGAACAGAAAAAATAGAAGCCATTGCAGCCTGCTCCAGCTCAGGTCAGCCACTTGTACCTGGGAGGCCAGGCTGAGTGGAGATTTATGCTCCAAGAGGCCAGGGAGCCCACAGGCCTAATTTCAATAAAAGCCAAGGTCTGCACCCTCTTGTCCCTGGGTCTGTCTGTGGTGAGGTCAATGCAGAGAAAGAGCCTCTCGGAGCACCTGCCATCTGTGTTGAGAGCAAAGTTCCGGGTTGATGCCAGGGAGGATCCAAGGCACACCCAGTGTTGGTTGAGGAGTGAACATCCTCCTCTGGGTGGGACTCCCGGAAGTCTTCCTGAATAGACGATGTCTCAACAGACCTAAATGCAAGGCTGGGCATTCTGGCTGAGGCAGCAGAGGACAAACGAAGCAGGCCAGGTGTAGAGAGAGTACCAGAGAAGAGAGCAACTCTCAACCTGGGTGGAATAGTTGGCCTGAACGCCATGCCACCACTCACTCAGTCCTTGGTTGAGTTCACTGCCCCATGGGGACCCCTGGCTGTCCTGTCCCTCCACGCAGGATGGACACAGCCGTTCTTTCAGCTGGCCTGGACTCCAGGCACACTCAGCTTGGACTCCTCTGTACCTCGACTCTGTTGACATTCGGGGCTGGATCTTTCTGTTATGGCTGCCATCCTGTGCATTGTAGGATGTCTCCCAGTGTGACAACCAAGGGTCTCCGGACAGTGTCCAATGTCCCCTGGGGGAGGGGGTGGCAGAATCACTCTGGTTGAGACCCCCTGCTCTATATCACTAGACCTCAGCCCAAGGGGGACAGTATGGGACGATCTGGGTTTGTTGCAATGCCCCTCACTGTGTGGTTGACTTCCAGTCCTGGCAGCCCAGGTCAGGCTAGGGCTGAGCTGGCCCCACCAGGGGCTCTTGGCAGATCACATGTGATGAAGTCAAGGACACTATGGACACCTGGACAGCTGGGTTCCTTCTAGTTGGAGGGGAATAATCCCCCAGCGCCCCCCCCCCCAGCCCTTGTACCCTGGTCTCACAACTGGACATTTTGTAGGTCCCTGGGACAGCAGATTCTGGAGACTTTGGTCCCTGGGTAGTTTTCAGGTTGTTACAAGTATGGCTGTGGCCTTGGGTGGTGGGAGCCTGAGCTGCAGCATCCAGAGAGCAGCCCTAGAAGGCGGACTGATGAGAGCAGGTGTTGAATGCTCCAGCTGGGACTGGGGCAGGGACATAGCCACTCAGCGGGTCCACTCCAGATGAGCCACTGGGGGGTGACAAAAAGGGTGTCTCCTCCCTCTGCTACAATACCTACTGCCCCAGAAGGCCAAGGCCAGGTAGAATGAAGACAGAAGCTAGGGAGGCCATCCCAGGCCCTGGGCAGAATCGAGACCTTGCCAGAAGCCACAGTATTTGGTCCTAGTAGACAGAGGCCCAATCCCCTCACTTTTGGATGAAGCTGTGAGGCTCAGAAGGGAGTGCAGACTACTCCAGAGTCCAGATCTCGGGATACTCAGGCTGGGGTCAGTGGCCACTCTGGTGGCCTCCAATGCGTGCATCCCAGTATTCTGGCTCCTGTAGTCCCCCTCCCCAACCTTGAACTGGGACTGGCTCAAGGTCTTGCTTGACCAAGAGAATGTGGCAGAAGTGACATGGTGTCACTTCTGGCCTGAAGGACGCCTGGCAGCTTCCAGGGTGTGCGCTGGGGAGGCCAGTCCCACATGATGGGAAACGAAGTCAGTTCAGGTGAGGCCACATGGAGGGAGCCACAGCCACAGTCACAGCCAAGCTCTGGGCCCTCTTGGAGCAGATCCCTTGGCCCCAGCTCTTCCCTGGAGAGACACCTGCTGCAGCAGACAAGCTGGATCCAAAGAAAACTCGCTAGGCTGACTTCTCCACAGTTTCTCCCTTAACCCCCCAAGACTTTCTTGAAAAAAACTCGGAAGAGGCTGAGAGCGAAGCTGCAGTCCTAGTGTCCCAGCTGATGTGAAGGAACATCCCAGACAAGCAGACACTCTTGGAAATGTGACTGGCCACCCTGGGGCACCCCCACCCCACCCTCTCAATAGCCGCAGGGTCCTGCACCAGGCCACCAGGGGTCAGTTTCAGCCCTTGGGACACTGTGTCCTTGAAGCCCGCTGTGGGGAGGCCAGCCCGGGAAGGCACAGCTGCGTTCAGGGCAAGGCTCAATCAGAACCCCCATCCCCCCAGGGGCAAGCTGATACTCGGCCACACAACTGGGCAAGGGCCCCAAGGACTTAGCTACTTACTTACTCCTGAAGCTGACCCATTGGCACAGTGAAGACAGATGTTCCAGCGTAAGTAACCTGAGTGTCACTTGCCAGCACCAGGGACGCTGCTCGGGGCTCCCTATGGGAGTATCACCTCCCACTCCCACCCCAGGGGCTCCCACACACCCAGCTCTGCAGGTGCCTCAGGCCCTGTTCCCCAGGGAGGGCTGTGTGGATGATGCCCGACCCTCAGGGAGCAGCACACACAGGCTACGAAGGGGTCCAGGCCTGGGCTACCATTCACGTGCTGAGCAGCTGTGGGGTAACTCGCAGTCCCCGAACCAATTTTCTTCATCTGTCCAATGGAGTGACAGACATGACCCCGTTCCCCCAGAGTGGCCAGAAGCTCCAAGGAGAGGTTGGTGGAAGCACCTGGGCCCCGGCTTGGCCCAGCCAGGGGCTGGGACACACCTGAGCCCTGCCTCAGGCTCCCATGCTGCGGCCCAGAGTCCCTACCTGACAATGGTGTTGAGTCCCCCGTGGAACCTTTTCTAAGCCAGGACAGTGCAGGACCGGGCCCCAGCTAAGGCCAAGAGCTGCACAGAGACCCCTAAACAGCAGGCGGCTGCTGAGGACCTTCTGATCTCAGAGCCTTGTCGTGCTGCTCAGCTCTAGAAGCTCTTCCCCACGACTGCGTTCTTTGGCGAATTATGCAAAAACAATCGGCCCTTTCAGCTGGAAGCCATCCTTGGAATTTGACAGTGGACAAGCAGTTCCTGAGCTGCCCTCAGCCACCGGGGCTGAGTCCACGGGGGTAGAGCCCAAAGCGTGGTGGGCCGGCACTGGAAAGACACGATGTGACCAATTAAAGTCTGTTTATTTGTAATGAGACAAACACTACAATCTGTTCAACACTAGGCTGGACACTGCAGTGATTGAGGGCAGGGAGGGAGGGGCAGGGCGAGGCCTCTGAGCCCAATTATGAATGTCCAAGGCAAAACCTTCCAGAAGACTCTTCCTTACCCCTCGGGGCAGAAATAAAAATCACACAATCACCGATGATTCAGATGAGAGACAACATCAGGCTGGGCCTCAATATGACGCCAAGGTCAGTGCAGAGGTGGGGACAGGTCAGCGAGACCTGGACCTTTCCCCGAGAGGCACCACCAGTCAGGAGGCAGTCGAAGGAGGAAAAGTGTTCCCCCGGCCCAGGGCTCATCCTCCTCTTGAGAACACCTTTCTCCCACCCTGAGGGTGGAGGCGGCCCCAGGCTGGGCAGTTCTGAGGGAGGGAAGCATGGCAGTCACTCCGGCCCCCTGCCCAGTTGCTCCCCCTTCTCCTCCTGCCCTCAGGCTGGCGCGCTGTGGCCATGGCTCCGAGACACTGCAGCAACACCGGGCATGACTCTGCCGCCCGGCCCTCTACTCCGGAGGGCAGGGCAGACAGCAAGCAGCTTTGGGGAACGGGGGTGAGGGTGACGCCAGAAGCGAGTGATGTTCGCACGCACACATCCTGGCACTGACGGTCTCTCCTGTCTCTGCCCCTGGGGACTGAGGGGCCGCATGGCACGTGACAGCCCCCCACCCCAAAGGCGGGGCCTCACTCCATCAAGAGCACTCTCAGCTTCCTCCTGTCTGCATCTTCGAGCTGCAGCTCATGGACTTGGGGAGGTGGGGAGGGAACCCCCGGGAACTTCACTGGCACCTGTCCTCAGCCCAGCTCCCGGGGGCAGCTCAGCTGAGCCAACCTCTGCCATCTGATGGGCAGTTCCTTTCTCCCCAGGACAGGAGGAAGCCCTCAGCAGGAGGCCACTGGAGGACTGGACCTCCCATGTCAGGGTCTAAGCCCCAGAGCTCTGCGCTGGGGTGAAAAGCCTCCGGGCTCTGCCCACCATGCAACAGCCCCTCACGGAGAGGCAGGGGCTTCTCCTTACACCCCAGGATTCTGTGGGCTGGTTTTGGATAAGGATCTGGCATTCCCTTTATTTCACCCCCTCATTGTTCTGAGGCTCCTCTGTCTTTAGGGTGAGGTCTGTCCATAACACTTGGGTTCCTCCCTTCCAGCAAAAGTTCATTCCGGCTTTGGAGGAAGGAGCTAGAAGGAACAGGCAGTGGAGGGGAAGGGGACAGAGGAAGAAACAGACCACAGTGAATGCCGCCACACCCCAGCTGGCCAGTGGGGCTGGTGCATGCTCCCAGAGGCAGGACCAGGGCGCAGGCAGAGGCGGCGGTTTCCGGAGGTTACCAGAAAAGGAAGGAGGGCTGGAAGAGCCTGCGGGAAAGAAGAGGGGAGCGGGGATGAAGGTTCCCGGGACATGTCCTGTGCTAGCCTGCACAACCTAGCCTGGAGCACAAGCCCTCCAGGCCCAGAGTCCCTCCCAGTCCCTGCACAAATCAAGGCACAGGTGGTCATGAAGTGCCGCTGTGTGAGTTACCCCCAACACGAAACTGCTTTGGGCTATGTCCGTGCACCAGGGGGTGGGCCTTGCAGTCCCCATGATCCCTCGTGGCTCGGAGGTCTGAGATCAGCTCCCTGTGGCACTCACAAGTGGCCGCATCTGAGCAGAGCTCTGGTCTACCAGGCACCTGCCCCAAGCTGCTGGTGTTATAGCGGACCTGGAAGCTCGGCCACGACGCAGCAGCATCAGAAGCCCCTCAGGAAGGCAGCTGAGTGGCTGGGGCCAGGGCTTGATCTTTTGGTATCTTCTCCATTTCTGAACCATGTGAATGCATCCTTTTTTAACATGCAGTTCAGGAAGTGAAGAGACAGAAGTCTGGCCAAGGGCTCAAGGACTCTGTTTTCCTTCCTGAAGTTTCTGAAAGTCAGTCAGGCTACCTCAGCTCTTGATACTATTTCCCAACACCCCAGTGCAGCAAGTACCCATTCAGGCCCTTCTCTTTTTATGGCTGAGTGTGCCATGGGCTTCATTTCCTGGTACCATCATCCTGCCAGGCTCTGTGCCCCTCTTCCCCAAACAACCTGCTCCAGCGTACCTGTCAGACCAGGTGTGCCCTGCGACGCTCTGCTCCGAGCCCACGTAGCACCGGGCCTGCAGCTGGGGCAGGCCGACAGGCCGGGCAAGGGGCCACCAGCAACAATGCAGACAACAGAAGTCAGATGGCCAGGAAGGCGGGTTCTACAGGGTGCCGAAGGGTGGGGCCTGATGGCGGCTGCCCGGCTGGTGTCACATGGTCCGGCTATACTCAATGCCACCCTTGGTGGAGATGCCGGACCACGGCAGGAAGCTGCAGAGCAGGCTGTGGGCCTGGCGGTAGATCCTGTGCGGGATGGAGCAGGGGCTCAGGTTTGCTAGCGCGGAGCCCAGGTGCTGAATGTAGTCCGTGGGGCTCCGTTAAGGAAGACTCTGACTCGCCTCGCCTGCCCACACACCCCTGGATGGCGCCGTCAGCAGGGGCCCACATCGTCATCTGCAGGGCTGCGTGCAGATGCCACACCATTTCTGAAGGATCCCCAAAGCCTGCCAAGCCTCCGTGGAGCGCCAGAAAGCCTTGTCAGAGGAAGGGGCCTCCGCTGTGCAAAATAATCAAGGGTGGCACGCGGTACAAAAGGACCTTCTGGGCGAGGCCTCAGGCACAAGGACACCTGGACCAAAGCTGATGGACAGGGACTGGGGACCAGGGTGACCAGTCTGCTGGAAGAGCAAGCGTTCCCAGTTCACTCCCATACTCAGTCATTAGAATGGCAGGGCCCCGTCCCTGGGACAAGGAGGGGGGGGGTCCCATCTTCACAGGGAGGCCTGCAGGGTTTTGGGCCAGGCTTCTGCCTCCTGTTTACTCCCGTGACATGGCTAAATCCTAGCCTCACTCAGTTCACTCCTAGCTCGCTCACTCTCAGTGTCTGGTGCCACACCGTCTATCAGGAGGTCTTCTGGCCTCCCTTCTTCCTGTTCCAGCCCAGAGAGGGTTAAAGAGGAGGGAGTAGGGGAGGGACACAGCTCTGAGGCCTCAGGAAAGGCAGGTCTGAACCCAAGCACTCCCAAAGGCGAGCAATTCTTTTCATCCTGCTGGTGTGTCTTCTCCCCAGGTGGCATAAGGCCCTCTGAGGGCAGGGGACCCATCTGTTGGGTTCACAGTTGTCTCTCCTGTGCACCTGGAACAGGAGGCTCTCAATCAGTATTTGTTGGATGGGTGGATCGTTGGCCAAGAGGGTTAAAACCCACACCTCATGCCAGCTGAAGTCTGAGGAACACTGAGTACAATCAGATCTACCCACAACACCATCTGGTCAGGAAAAACATGTCCCGTGAGCTTGGCCTCATGAATCATGTGAAGGCAACGCGGCTCCATCTGGTGCATGGGCCCTGACCCTGCGAGTGACCCTTGTGGCTGGGAAGCCACATCCCTCACCCCTGAGAAGTAAAGGATATAGGATTGTCCAGGGAGGGTGGCCGCCGTTGATGTAGAGGACATAGGTGAAGCCATCTTTGAGGACCCCTCGGATGGAGTAGTAATAGGGGAGATAGTGATGTTGCTTAAAGTCTCTGTTTTCATAGAAGTTTATTGCTGTGTTGTTGGTGGTGAGGACGTGCAGGTAGATGGCTTTGCAGTGGTCCTGGGCAGTGGTTGATATGTGATCCTTTAAACTCTCAAGTAAAAGGGAACCTGCAGGAGAAAGGGCGACAGTCAGACAAGGCAGGAGAGGCAGGCAGGGAGCATGAAGCAGACAAGGAAGTGACCTTGCCAGACATCTCTACAGATCTCCCTGCCATTGTATCAAAGATGAACTCCCATAACCACCCTGTCAGAGCCCCTAAAATCCCATGGCCAGACGGGGCTCATCTGCTGCACACCATCGGGCATCTGGAACCACAAACAGGGGCCAGGTACTTCCCTGGCAGGGGCTGGGCCAGGGGTGGAGACTCACTAACCTTTCCCAAAACAGAAAGAGCAAATGTGAGCTCAGGAATAGGTAGAACAGACAGGCCTGGGTCACGCAGGAAGACTGCTGCCTGCTGGCTGTGTGGCAGAGTGGGGGGATTTTGGAGATAGGCCTGGGGCACAGCTCCCTGCATGCAACGGGCATCTGATAAATGGCAGCTGGGACTGTTTTTCTTTTTCTTTTAAATTTTATTCATTTGGGCGCCTGGGTGGCTCAGTCGTTAAGCGTCTGCCTTCAGCTCAGGTCACGATCCCAGGGTCCTGGGATTGAGCCCCGCATCAGGCTCCCTGCTCTGCGGCAAGCCTGCTTCTCCCTCTCCCACTCCCCCTGCTTGTGTTCCTGCTCTTGCTGTGTCTGTCTCTGTCAAATAAATAAATAAAATCTTTAAAAAAATACCTATTTATTTATTTGTCAGAGAAAGAGAGACAGAGAGAGGGAGAGAGCACAAGCAGGGGGAGCGGCAGGCAGAGGGAGAAGCAGGCTCCCCGCTGAGCAAGGGGCCTGATGTGGGACTTGATCCCAGGACCTTGGGATCATGACCTGAGCTGAAGGCAGACACTTAACCGACTGAGCCACCCAGGCGTCCCTAGGACTGTTTTTCAATTATGTTTTCTATTCTTAATCAAGAACACCTTGTGACCAAACATAAGCCATGTGTGGTGTCAGGTGTGGTGAGAGGTGCCCATTCCCTGAGCAGGACATCTGGGAGCGTTATGAATCTGATCAAGTCAGACTTGGGAACGAGGCCATTGCCTAGAGACCTGATGATGGGTGCAAAGAGCACAGGCTGAAGGCCAAGAGACTGGAGGTGGGGCAGGGAGAGCTGCTGGGAGGGGCGGGAGGCTGAACGTCCCTGCAGGCCAGGGGGACGAGGGACATTTATGGGCTGCTCATCAGCACGTGGGAAATGACTAGACATGGTGGCTGGAGCACATGTGCCAAACCCCACAAGCTCAGCGCCCCTTACCGATGCCATGCTTCCTGAACTCCTTCACTACTCCCAGACTTAAAATGTACGCAACCTGCGTGTCAACAGAGAAGTTGGAAGCTAGAATATCTCCATCCTGAAGGAAAAGTCAGACATAAAGGCAAGTTAACGGTTGAGGCACCTGGTACCACTGCAGGGCACATCCCACCTACTGACTCCCTGACCACGACACATGGGGTGGGGCTGGGGTGGGAGGGGACAGAGCAAAGGATAATGGAGAGTCAGTCCCACAGACACCCACACCCACACGGAAATGACAGGGTGCAGTTCCTTGTGGCACGAATGGCTAAACTAAGGACACACACAGAATGTTGCTGCTCTTGTCAGAATGTCGCTCCTCTTGGGGATGCGTGGTGGACCTGACAAGGGTCGAAGGCAGAGCAGTAACGGGGAAGCGACTGTGCCACGTGGACACGTACTGGACACCCAGGACGAGACAAAGTTTGAAAAAGTTTGCCTCAAGGATCCTACACTGCCCCCAGGTGGTCTCTGAGCAAAGGGAGTGGGGGCCTGAGCGGCCTCACAGCCCTGTGCTGCCCACGCCAGGCAGAGCTCCGCCCCATGCCGCCCTGTGCCTGCCTTGTGGTTCTGGAGATGGGAGTTCCGGCCTGGGGGGGCTCCTGAATCTGACCACCATGCAAGACAAAGTGGAAGAAAAAACCTCAGGAGGAAGCTGGGACAGAAAGTCACTCTTAAAAGAAACTACCTTTGCCAGAATGTAATTACAGGCAAAATCGGGTACACTTGAGCGGGTCGGGTCTTTCAAAGGGCGATGTCCTTCTTGTACTTTTAAAGAAATAACCTGAAGCTGAACAGATAGAACCTGCTGCCAGTTGTCAGTGGGTTTTTTCCTGTCCTTGGAGTAAACACCCACATGATAAACACTACTCAGTTGCGAAGATGACCAAAATTACTGGGCAGAATCTTGACCCAAGACAACCACACAGAACAATGTGTCTGTGGCCGTGACCTCGCATTTTATTTTATACTCAGAGCAGAGCTTGCTGATGTGGGGCCACAGACTCTTAGGAGTTCCAACATAGATCTCGGAGAGGTCTGTGAAGCTAGATGAAAAGAAATATATCTCTATCTTCACTAACCCCTAGCTGGAACCTAGCGTGTCCTTCAACCAACTACAGCACCATTAGTAGTTTCTACAAATCACTGATCTTCCCAGAGCCCTTGACAACTTTGGGGGTTCTCAGTGTACCATTTACATTCCCCCCTACTTTGTGTTTTGGGGTTTTTTAACTCTTCCCTACTTTAAAATGACAGCCGTTATGAAGCCTGCAGCTAGGACTCTTATTCAATTCGTGTCTAACTGTATCACCTACACCCAGAAGGAAACCAACTGGGTATGAGTCTCATAATCGGTCTGGGCTGCTAGGAGAAAGGGCCACAGAGAAGGCAGTGTGATTTGGCTGCAAGCCCTTGCAGGCCTGTGCAGCGACAGGGACCACCAACTCCTTGCCACACATACTTACTTCCTTGTGTATCTTGGTCCTACTTTTTATTTCAGCTACTATCATTCCCACGATGGCGCCCCTGTAGGTTGCGGCGAGGGAAAAGAACTTCTTGTTGGAGGTGATATCACGATACCATGAGTCTGGGTACCTGAGGAGAACAAACTGAGGTGAACCCCCAAAGGTCAAGCTCAACTAATGTGGGACTTCACAGTGGAACCACACTCTGCCCACTGTTCCACGGCTGATAAGGAGTTGGTCCACCACTCAGCCTACACCAAAGGGTCTTCTTAAAGCAGTAATCTGTCTAGATGGGACTGGGAATTTCTTAAAAATGTGTGGCTTTTTAAGGTTTATTTATTTATTTTGGGGGGAAGGGGCAGAGGGAGAGGGAGAAACTCAAGCAGACTCCGAGTGCAAAGCCCAACGCAGGGCTTGATCTCACGACCCTGAGATCATGACCTGAGCCGAAACCAAGAGTTTGACACTTCGGGCACCTGGGTGGCTCAGTTGGTTAAGCGACTGCCTTCGGCTCAGGTCATGATCCCGGAGTCCTGGGATCGAGTCCCACATTGGGCTCCTTGCTCAGCGGGGAGCCTGCTTCTCCCTCTGACCCTTTCCCCTCTCATGCTGTTTCTCTCTCTCTCCCTCTCTCTCTCAAATAAATAAATAAATAAATAAATAAAATCTTGAAAAAAAAAAAAAAAGATTTGGACACTTCACTTACTGAGCCACCTAGGAGCCCCTAGACGGGATTGGGAATTTCTTTTTTATACAAAACTTTTTTTTAAAGATTTTATTTATTTACAGAGAGAGAGACAGCCAGAGAGGGAAAACAAGCAGGGGGAGTGGGAGAGGGAAAAGCAGGCTTCCTGCAGAGCAGGGAGCCTGACGCAGGGCTCAATCCCCAGGACCCTGGGATCATGACCTGAGCCGAAGGCAGACGCCTAATGACTGAGCCACCCAGGTGCCCCGGGACTGGGAATTTCTAATGGGAAAAATAATTTTACTATCATTTTTTGAGAGATGAGAGAAAAAAAAACCTCTGACAACATTCTCTCAACAAGAGCAGGATGTGGAGGGACAGCCGGGTAGCTGGATGAGTTAAGACTGATGGTCCTTGATAGCCCAGAGACCTGGGTGATTTCCGAGAATTCTGTGAGTCCTTCTGAAGACTGGGGGTATGGGGAGAGCCAAGTTCACAGCTGAGTGGCATTTGAGTTCACTGCACCTCCCTGGGCAGGGATGGGGACAAGGTTTCGAGGGCAGGGTGTGGCTAGGGTTGCTAGGGGCTATTTACCAAGACCCCTCACTCAGGGGAGCAGGAAGAGAACATTTAGTGCAAAGCCCCTGGACAGTAACGAAAGGCAGACTCGCCACAGCCAGGAGACATGGTCAGGAGGGCAGGGGCACTCGGGGCCTAGGGGCGTGTGGGCTTGTTTTTTAGCTTGGGGTAGACATAAGAGGTTAGCCTGAGATGCCTTTGTTGAGACCAAGAGCTGGGGGAGGGGACCAAACCCTCTCGGTGACATAGCAGACAGGTCCTCTACTTGGCTCTACTCCACAGCGGCCACTGACCACTCACCAGAAGGTTCTACAGGGCCTGAGCATCACCTGCACTCCTCCCTGGTCCTCGTCACGCTACCCCAGAGGGATCGGCTGGCATGGCAACCAGGACACGGAGCTGCCACCACACAGCCAATGGGACTGCAGTTCACTCCACCGTCTTTGGAACCTGAGGCCTCGGGCGCAGGAAACTGTGATGAGAGGCAGGCAGGCTGGGCGCCTCAGGAGGCAGAGGCTACGGCCCCGCGGGGCTCTACCGGGCGCAGGCGCCCTCAGCTGGGTCTTATCCGAGCACATACTGGGCTACTTTGCGGCGGCAGCGGGGATGCTGGCGGAAACAGGGCCCTTCTATGGCCCGTAAAGCCGCCGCTAACCCACAGCCCCAGGAGGCTGAGGCACATCCCACCAGAGCCGTGAGGCTGGCCCGCCTCCTCCCTCCCGGCCTGCAACAGGTTAAACCACTAGTCTGAGGTCAGGACTCATGGAAATACGAGGCTTGGCAGGATCTAGTTCATTTTTACAAGTTTTTTTTTTTTTAAATAATAAATTCTTGTGATGAGAACTCAGGATTTACTGTATGAACAGCTTCCTACATAACATATCCAACAGTGTTCACTCTAGTTGGCATGTGGTTCATTACACCCCAGTATTTCTTTATCTTGTAACTGCCAGTTTGTAAAACAAAAAGCCTGCGTCTGGGGCGCCTGGGTGGCTCAGTCGTTAGGCGTCTGCCTTTGGCTCAGCTCATGATCCCGGGGTCCTGGGATCGAGCCCAGCATCGGGCTCCCCGCTTGGCGGGAAGCCTGCTTCTCCCTCTCCCACTCCCTGTGCTTGTGTTCCCTCTCTCACTGTGTCTCTCTGTCAAATAAATAAATAAAATCTTAAAAAAAAAAAAAAAGCCTGCAACTATTTTTCCCACTACAAAAACTGTATGTGCCTATTACAGAGGCAAAACAGACAAAACTGTAGCTCCTAATAATCTGCCCACCTCAAACTACTAAAAACACCCTGCTACACGGCATATAACCTCATAAGCTTTTATCTTGTACATGTTTTTATTTACTTATTTTAAAGATTTTATTTATTTTTTGACAGAGAGAGAGACAGCGAGAGAGGGAACACAAGCAGGGAGGAGTGGGAGAGGGAGAAGCAGGCTTCCCGCAGAGCAAGAAGCTTGATGCGGTGCTCGATCCCAGGACCCTGGGATCATGAACTGAGCTGAAGGCAGCTTAATGACTGAGCCACCCAGGCGCCCCTCTTGTACATGTTTTTAAATAAAAGCAGGATTGAGGGGTGCCTGGGTGGCTCAGTCGATTAGGCGATTGCCTTTGGCTTGGTCTTGTTCCAAGGGTCCTGGGATCAGGCCCCACATCGGGCTCCCTGTTCAGTGGGGAGCCTGCTTCTCCCTGTCCCTCTGCTTGTACTCTCCTGCTGTCAAGTAAACAAATAAAATCTTTAAAATAAATAAATAAATAAATAAAAACAGGCTTGGGATACACACTGTTTTCTAGTCTACTTTTCCCATTTATTATCTCATTAAAAAAAAATCCTTATTGGGCACCTGGGTGGCTCAGTTGGTTAAGCGACTGCCTTCGGCTCAGGTCATGATCCTGGAGTCCCGGGATTGAGTCCTGCTCGGCGGGGAGTCTGCTTCTCCCTCTGACCCTCCCCCCTCTCATGTGCTCTCTCTCTCTCTCATTCTTTCTCTCAATAAATAAAAAAATCTTTAAAAAAAAAAAAATCCTGGGCGCCTGGGTGGCTCAGTTGGTTAAGTGACTGCCTTCAGCTCAGGTCATGACCCTGGAGTCGCCAGATCGAGTCCCACATCCGGCTCCCTGCACAGCAGGGAGTCTGCTTCTCCCTCTGACCCTCTTCCCTCTCATGCTATCTCTCATTCTCTCTCTCAAATAAATGAATAAAATCTTAAAAAAAAAAATCCTTATCAACAAATACACCTCTACAACAGATTTTTACCCCCCTGGCTGAATAACAAGCCCTTGCAGGCACATACCCCAACGTATGGAACCAAGTCCTCACTGTTAGGATACTTAAGTTGCTTCTCAATTTTCTGAATTACCAATAGCACTGCACTGAACATCTTTTCAACTAAAGACTCTCAGGAAAGGCCTTCTGGGGAACTCTCTGCACGAGGGATGCGATGAGGTGGAAAGAGGCTGATGGTAGCCAGGGCCCGAGGCCTGGGGTCCAACAATAGGCAAGGTGACACTGGGCCACCACGGAACCTCCAAGCCACACTGGCTGTCATAGCAAGTCTTCTGGCTCCAGCACCGGCGCTTACGTGTGTCCCTCCCCCCGAGCCTCACCCCCCACCCCACTGAGCTGCAGCTGGGACAGTGGGTGCTGCTCAACTTACTCGATGGGGAACCAGTCGCCACACAGATGCTTCACGGTGTCTATGTCATCATGGCAGAGAAGGCGTAGGCTGACCTCGCTGAGGGCGCTGGACGGCACCACCTCTGTCATTCACACCTGCAGGGACGGAGGCGGCGTCAGGAGGGCGGCCGCGCCCCCTCACCAGCCCACCGGGCACTGTCACCACACACTACCTCCTCCTCCTCCTCATGCTAACCTGTGAGGCAGGCAAGACAGGGAAGCTAGTATGGTCGCCCATGGACGGACGTCTCCTCACTACCCGCACCGAGTGTGTCTGTCTCTCACAACAGCCCCAAGGCACAGGTGGCAGTCGCCCCCACACCGCAGACGAGGAAATGGGGTGCCCCACCCCAGCCTGGCTCCTCCCCCACTGGTCTCGCGTCTCCCTCCCGAAGCTGTTTCTCTGCCGCTGCAGAGAGCACCGCCCCCCACTCTGCCCCACATCCCAATGTCTCCCGACCTGGGTCCCCCCTGGGGCAGCCTGGTGGGGGGCCATGGTTGGGCTGGATTTCAGCAGAAGTGGAGCTAGCTGGCTGGGCTGCTTCTCCTCCCCCAGCCAGCGGACAAAGACTCATGGGCAGGAAGAGAGACTATGAGACACGCCAAAGTTCAAATCAAGGGTCATGAATTGCTGATAACTCTTTTATATTTAAAAATATATTATTTATTTATTTTATAAAGGATCCTGAATTCTTATTTTTCTTTCAGCAATCTCCACGCCCAACGTGCAGCTTGAACTCATGACCCTGAGATTGAGAGCGGGGCGGGCGCCCTGCTAACAACTCTTCTAAATCAAGAGAGTATGTTCAGTCCAGGCTGCTGGAGCAGCCTCTTTGTTTTAGTTGAAGGAAGGCAGGTGGAAAGGCTGGGCTCCCACAAAGCACCTGCACTCCCAGGATCTACTGACTACGAGAAAGTGGAACCTGCCAACCCAGGTCCAGCAGCCCCTCAAGCCCAGCCTCTAACAGAGATGTGAAATACGCTAATCACTCAGGGTTCCACCTAAAATGCTGGGCGCAGACCCAATCGAGCCTCCAGGCCTAACTGCACACAGGCTTCAGTTCAAGGGCACCATGACGCCCAACAAACACGGAATGAGGGGCATTCTACAAGACAACTGGCCTGGTCTCTTCAAAAGATCAAGGTCATTAAAAAAAAAAAAGAAAAAAAGTAAACTAAAAGAGGTGAGAAGATCTAGCACTGATTGTGATGTGTAAACCCCCAATGGGAAAAAGAACAAGTCAAAATAACCTTCTGGGGAAATGTAAACACGGGCTGGACAGCAGATGATGTTATGAAGCTGTTACTGACGGTACTGGACAAGGAAGTGTGTAATTACGTAGGAAGTCTTGGGAGTGAGGCATTGTGAGGTCTGAAACTAAATGTTTCAAGAGAATCCAACTACTTAGGAAGCAATCACGATACAATGCTATTCACCACTCCATCCAGGTGGCAGATAAGACACAATACAGGAACTTACTGCCCACACATTCAACTTCTCTGTATGTTCGAATTTTTTCATAACAAATGTTGGGGGTGGCGGGACCCCAGAGAGGCTGGTCATCACCTACTGACCTGAGTTTACTCTAGAAACCGGTTCTGTGAATGTGCACCGAGATCATCCCGGCAACACCCAAAGGTCTTGGGGACCCGGATGTTCAGCCCTGACCACTCAGCCAGCCCAAGTAAGTGCCTATGACAATCCTTCAAGGTCACCTGCTCGGACTGCCCTGGCATTGTTAGTGCCTGGTTCCCATGAGACTTCAGGTGTTTCCGGGAAGGTCCCCAGGAAGGTCATGTCCTAATGTGCCAGCTGCCAGGGGCTGAAATCCACCCTGAGGCTTGACCACTGGGACGGTGGGGCAGATGCTCAGTCTCTAATCCCTGGACACAACCCCAGCAGGCTCTACTAAGCAAGAAGCGTTCCTGTGAGGGCCGCTCGTGGGCTGGCAGCCCCCTAGGACCACGTGGGCTGAGCAGTCAGGAGGTGGGCAGGAGGAGGTGGACGTACCGCAGGAGCTCTGTGGCTCTGTGGCCACACTGGGTTCTCTCTTTCCGGCACACGCCAAACTCCCAGGGGGTGGGGACCATGCCACCTTGACACGCCCCCCTGCACAGCACTGGCTCAATCGCTGAAATGAGCAGGGACCTGCTTTCTCCTCCTCCAACCATGTTTTCAGCCAAGTGCGTGTGCACTGCCTATGTGGGGTCTGCAAGGTGGGGACCCCTCCCATGGCCCTCCCCACAGCGCAAGGTGCCCTCCCCCGGGGCTCTGAGGGGGACAGAATGGGATGCTCATCATGACAAGGGTTTGGTCCTGCTTGAGGCCTGGTGGGCCCCCATACGTCCAGGATCAGGCAGCAGCTGAGGTACCACCTCAGGAGGAGGAGCCCTGCTAGAGACCTATCACTTAGAAGGGGACAGAGCTGGTCTCTGGATACAAGATCTTGATGGAACCCCTGAAAGCTAAGCTGACCTAGACAAAAGCCCCTTTCTGGGCAGGGCAGAGACAGCCAGCTGTGCTGACAAAACAAGGGACACAGCCATCACAAAAGTTAAAGTGAGAGGCCTGCTGAGATAGGGTAGGCCCCAGCTGCTGGGCTATATTTGTTTAAGTTCTTCGTTCCAAACACAAAACAAAACTGAAACACCCACGAAACAACAGAAACTATCCTCAATCTAGGCAAATCTGATCTTCCCATGTTGCTTGGTGTTTCTTCTTTCTTGAGATGCAACTTCAAAAAGAAGACCCCGTCCAGCCTGATCTCTGGGTCAACAACAGCTCCACTATTTGGTTCCTGAACAGTGGGGCCGTTCCAGGGCTCAGCAACCCCATCTGTGGCCACCCACTCAAGCCCACTCCCCTGTTGGTATCCAGGATGCGGCCTGTGGCCCAGAATGTGCTGGTGTGACCTTAGGGACCTCATGCCTCTCAAGTGGCCAGCCACCTCTTGGGAAATGGGATTGATCAACCAAAAATGGCAAGTCCTGAGTTTTATGAGTCATCTCTGTCCAAAATAGAGCCTAGCAGTCACTGGATAGGATGTGGTTCCCCAGTTAGCCTGAGCCAAGGGCTGTTCTGTCCCACAGAACATGAGTGTACGGGTTAGAGGAGTTTGCCCACCAAGAGCAGGATGGACCCGGCACTTCACGTTCAGGTACAAAGTGCTGCTCCCCTGGAGGTTTCTGCGCAACACCCAAAGTGAGGGTAACCCTGCCTTCTTCCACAAAAGGGATAGATTCAGACACTGAGCCTGGTCTTGTCTCTGGCTCACCCTTTGCTAGCCAGGCTCTGAGTCCCCTCTAAAATAGAGAGGGTCAGGCCCAACAGGACAGTGCTGAGGCTGCAATGAGCTGCTGATGGCAAAGGGCTAGGAACTGAAGAAGAACTGCCCATCAATGTGGGCCGTTGGTGCCCACCAACTGGTGACCAGCATGGTCTGGCTAGTCCAGGGACATTCCCTTGGCCTTTAACAGTGATGTCCTGGGGCGCCTGGGTGGCTCAGTCGTTAAGCATCTGTCTTCGGCTCAGGTCATGGTCCCAGGGTCCTGGGATCGAGCCCCGCATCGGGCTCCCTATTTGGCGGGAAGCCTGCTTCTCCCTCTTCCACTCCCCCTGCTTGTGTTCCCTCTCTCGCTGTGTCTCTGTCAAATAAATAAATAAAATCTTAAAAAAAAAAACAAAACAGTGATGTCCTAAGTAGTTTTGCTCCGATTCCTAACTTAGGTGGTTCTCAGCTGCTGGTTCAATGTTAGAGGCACCAAACCAGTTCAGGCTCACCTAAACTGGAAGGAGGCCCTGCCCCACAATCCCCTTAGCTGGGTTCTGAATCCACACACAGTTTACCTCTGACACTTTATTTTTTTATTTTTTTAAGATTTTATTTATTTGAGAGAGAGGGAGTGCACAAGCAGGGAGAGGGGAAGAGGGAGAGGGAGAAGGAGACTCCCTGTTGAGCAGGGAGCCCTACACAGGACTTGATCCCAGGACCCTGAGATCATGACCTGAGTCAAAGGGAGACGCTTAACTGACCAAGCTACTCAGGCGCCCCCCCCACCAACCTTTTTAAAAAAGATTTTATTTATTTATTTGAGAGAAAGATACCTCTGATACTTTAAAAAACAGTTCTCTGGCACAACATATGCACAAAAGCCACAACCAAAGGTTTCGTTAATCTTGTAAGATATGAGAACAGCATTGTGGTTGTGCAGAAAAAGCCCATGCTCTTTAGACATGTACACTGGATATGTAGAAGCAAAATGACATCATATCCTGTAACTTAATTTAGCTGGAGCAAAAGTGCCTAAATGTTAATAATTGTTGAATTGGATGATAGGTATGCCAAATGGGTGTTTAAAAATGTTCCCGGGGCACCAGGGTGGCTCATTCGGCTAAGCGTCTGCCTTTGGCTCAGGTCATGATCCCACAGTCCTGGGATGGAGCTCCCCATCGGGCTCCCTGCTCAGCAGGGAGTCTGCTTCTCCCTCTGCCCCTCCCCCCTCTTGTACGCGCTCTCTCTCTCTCTCCCTCTCTCTCAAATAAAACCTTAAAAAAAAATAAAGTGCATTTCTCAAAAAAAGAAAAGAAAAAGTTCCCAATTAAAAACCAACCAACCAACCCCCAACAGAACTTTTCCACAGAGGCTGAGTTTCGGGTACAGGTGGCAGCTTGGCCAGGTGGCTGACTTCAGTTCTCTGGCGTCCTGCAGCCTGAGCCCCGGAAAGCAGCGCCACATGCCGCAGCAGCCACCGCAGTCTCCGCACACCTCCTCACTCGAAGAGTGAGTTCTCAGCAAACCATGGCTGGTTCGCTGATGTGCACTCTGGATCCCAGGTGGGTTAGGCTCCTGGTTCAGAGGGTTATGGGTTCAGGGAATACTGCTCAGGACCCAAGCTAACCAAACCTCAAACTCCACTGATGTTTTAAGGAGCGACAGGACACAGGGCACTGTTTCAGGAGCTGGCCTGAAGCTGTCCAAGATGCTAAATATCAACCACAGGGCCAGCTTAGGGCAACGCCTCCCCACTTCAGGGCCAAGAAAACTGGGACGTGCATGAAGTCTCTGCCAATACCTGTAGCCTCTGGGTCAAAGTCA